CAGTTATAAAATTTTTTCCAAAATCCTCTTTAAATGATCTAATCCACGAAATTTCTATAAATCTCCATTGATTATATTGCTCAATCACTAAGGCTTAATTAGAATTCATCAATGTTGGTTCAGTTGACCTTTCCTATAGAAATGATGTCGTTGTACTAGTGAACTGGTAGTACTACATTCGCCTATCGTAACTATATGACAAAACACTGAAACATTCTGAATAAGTTTTGCATGTACTATTGTTAGACAGATGAGTGTTCATTAGATGACATTTACTATACGAAATCGTTTACTTAAACCGTATATTTGATAAAGCTTAAAAAACGTTTACGAATACGTGGACGATAATCACATAATGACTACTAATCTTAAATGAATATTGATGGTTTCACCACTTGACCTTTGGTATGGAAATAAGAAATTGAAACAAAAGAATTTAAATCAAATTGTGGGTGGCCCTGAAAAGGGCCTTTACTCGTTCTCTTAACAATTCCGAATTTCATGAACGAAAGACTTGCTATGACTCCGTTATAGCGTCGCACATGGGACAGTGGATTCCATGAATGTGTGGTGATGGGTCGTAGGCAAAAAATAAATGAATCATTGCTTCGCATGGACAAAAAATCCAGGCAATTCCAGCAACAGTTTCATGTGGCGGTTGCGCAAGATTGCAAATATCACAAGGTCTGTTGTCATATGCGTTTTCTTCATTGTCGTCATCTCGTTCAGTGAACTCCTCTGAGTTCGTCGAAACAATTTCTCCCTCGTCACTGCTTAACGTTACATCCATATTGAGGTTATTTTGATAGTTGATAACTTACAAAATATGGAGGAAAGACATTGAGTGTTCACGGTAGTCCTTAATGAAAAATTATAATAACACTAATCAAATTACCTCGTTCGTCTACTCGGCTGTGAGGAACCGCTAGGTGTTCTACGGCCATTTCTCCAACATACGAACTTAATATACGGCTTCCGATCTCTATGGAAATGAGAATCCCTCACCACATAATGGCAGTACGTGGCTCTTTCATACGTTCTAATGACGCTCTTCAACGCTTCAAAAGATTGGAACGCTACGAGATACAATGTGCTCAAGAACGAACAGGTTATCGGTTTCTGTGACAAAGTGAGGAACGATGGAGCTCATACTTCGCAAGTTACTACCGTCCATAATTGTAAGAAAATGTGCTCTGTCTTCATGTCCTGATATTTTATATCGATTTGAAGAAATGAACGACCAATTATAACGAACTCAAAATTAGCTATTTGATTGGACGACACAGAATGGAAGTTATTGGAAGATGGTGATGAAAATTTTTTTCAAAAGGGACGAAAAAAAATTGCACTCGAAAAAAAAATACAAAAATGGCCGTGCACTAAATGTTTTCCCTAGCTAGGGGCTCCTGTAGTGACCTACTTTTATCGACAGAACGCGATTGGTGTAATGGAAACAATTATGATTAAAATCAATTGTACCAGGGATTGTTTTACTGTACTTGTTTGTTTAACTGTGCCAAAATACATACATTCTTCCGTTGACAGTGACCTTGCACGAATTCGGTTACGCTCAGTGACCACACTTGTAACCTGGCAGATTCTCGATATTTTTTCGATACCACAAGATCTCCAACAAATACATCTCGACTACAGCCATCAACTGCTTTCTGATATTTGATCTATGGGGGATCTTAACGGTTAACTGGCACGCAGTCTTCCTGTAGTGGTGATCATAGTCAACCGCGACCCTACACCACACTATATATATATATATATATATATATATATATATATATATATATATCTGTGACTGAACAGGTGTTAAGTCATTTGAATATGGAATTCAAAAACAGGAGAGCGGGTGAGGCTGTGGTTAAACGAAGTTCGGAAACAGAACAGGACCGATCGTGTGATAATTATAGAAGTTGTGAAGAACTTACACAAGATTCAGATCATTTGAAAACAGATATAGAGGACCTAGGGCAGTAAGGTAGTGATGGTTTATAGTTAGAAATTGATAAGGTGGGTTACACATTATAGTTAAACAGGATTTGAAGAGTTTACGTAATTTTACAGAACTAAGTGCATGAAAAAGCCGATGAACAAAGTGATGATTTTGGTGTGAAGTAAAAATAGCAAAATAAGAATTATTTTGACGAAGACCACATAACAAAATAAATAACTCCAGGTGAAACTAGTCAAAGCTGTGAATCTACCAAGGTAGTGATAATTGGATTAATGTCTATGCCCTATAAGTAAGTTAATTGTGATTCTTTTGGCATCAGTGAGTTGTATGTCGGATCACCAACCAAGTTCTTCACTTGTTTTAAAAAAAACTCTCCTTAGTTGCTTCTGTTAGATCTTTCCTAGTACCGTCGATTATGATTTTCATGGATTCATTTTAAATCGTTAAAATTTTGTTAGTGTGTATGTCTCTGTTTAGGGTGACTTGTCAAAACTTGTTATTCAACAATATAGAATATTCTATGGGAAGTTTTAAACTGCAAATATGCTGTTGACATTACGTGCAAAAAATATTAAGCGCAATTGACGAGCACAATAATCTATTCACATGAATACTTACGTAGACAAGTATTTTTTGTCAAATTTTAAACTGCTCAACCACAAAGAATGTACAGGTAAAAACAATTGACGCTTTTAATGGATTAGCAAAATAACGCAATTGACAATCTTGCATTTATTTCTGACACCATTTTTCCGGCGAAACTAAACAACCCTTTTGTACTAAGAATAATTGTTTGGAAAAGAACCCAATCATAAATATCATTTGCTAATTTCTGAGTAAAATGACGTTGGTATCTTCTTTTTTAAAGTCTATATTTTGATAAGAACTTGGACGGAGCAATCAGACAGAATTGTTTTTTTTATTGGAATAGTTGGGATCATGAGTGAATCGAAGCTAGAGCACCATGGAAAACCTGTTAATGTCTAATTCCAACTAATCCACGAAATTTTTATAAATCTCCATTGATTATATTGCTTAGTCACTAAGGCTTAATTATAATTCATCAATGTTGGTTCAGTCGACCTTTCCCATAGAAATGACGTCGTTGTACTAGTGAACTGGTAGTACTACATTCGTCTATCGTAGCTACATGACAAAACACTGGAACATTCTGAATAAGTTTTGCATGTACTATTCTTAGACAGATGAGTGTTCATTAGATGACATTTCCTACACTAAATCGTTTACTTAAACCGTATATTTGATCAAGCTTAAAAAGCGTTTACGAAGACGTGGACGATAATCATATAATGACTATTAATCTAAAATGAATTTTGATAGTTTCACCACTTGACCTTTGGTATGGAAATAAGAAATTGAAACAAAAGAATTTAAATCAAATTGTGGGTGGCCCTGAAAAGGGCCTTTACTCGTTCTCTTAACAATTCCGAATTTCATGAACGAAAGACTTGCTATGACTCCGTTATAGCGCCGCACATGGGACAGTGGGTCCCATGGACGTGTGTTGATGGATCGTAGGCACAAAACAAATGAAACATTGCTTCGCATGGACAAAAAATCCAGGCACTTCCATCAACAATTTCATGTGGCGGTTGCGCAAGATTTTAAATTTCACAGTCTGTTGTCATATGCGTTTTCGTCATCGTCGTCATTTCGTTCAGTGAAATCCTTTGAGTTCACCGAAACAATTCCTTCCTCGTCATTGCTTAACGTTGCATCCATATTGACGTTATGTTGATAGTTGGTAACTTACAAAATATGAAGGACATTGAGTGTTCACGAAAGTCCTTTATGAAAAATCATAACAAAACTAATCAAATACCTTCGTTCGTCTACTCGGTTGTGAGGAACCGCTAGGTGTTCTACGGCTATTTCTCCAACATATGAATTCAATATACGGCTTCCGATTTCTATGGAAATGAGAATCTCTCACCGCATAATGGCAGTACGTAGCTTTTCCATAAGTTCTGATGACGCTCTTCAACGCTTCAAGTGATTGAGACGCTACGAGATACAGTGTGCTCAAGAACAGGTTATCGGTTCCTGCGACAACGTGAGGAACGACAGCACTTATGTTTGGCATGTTACTACTGTCCATAATTGGAAGAAAATGTGCACCATCATTGAAGTCCAGACATTTTATATCGATTTTAAGAAATAAACGACCAATTATAACGAACTCAAAACTAGTTATTTGATTGGACGAAACGGAATGAAAATTATCGGAAGATGGGGATGAAAAAAAATGTTCACTCAAAAAAAGTACAAAAATGGCCGTGCATTTAATGTTAACCAATAACTCACTCATTACGATCATCTTGGATCCCAGGCCACTAAAGTGAAGAGCCTGTGAACAAACATCGTCCGATCTAAATGACCATAAAATTAAGGGCCCCACAGGTGTAGGAATACCGTGTAATCAATATGGATGAAGACCTACGCACTTAATACTTCGATTTTAAATATCAAGAACAATCAATTCGACATCGAGAACTTAAGAATCATGGTTTCTTTATCCTACTCTTCCCATTTTATCATTTCCAAACGTCTTAGCAGCTATATGTTGATAGGTTTTACATAACATTTGCTAAGATATATGCTAACTGTTACCATGACTGCTACTGATTATGTTTCCAGTAAAAGTTTCAGCCTACGTATCACTGGCTAGGTCAGAAGGACCAATGTATGCATTTATGTATGAACTGTATAACTATTAATTCAGTTTGGCGATTAAGCCTTTTTACTTATTTCAGATTTCTGATTTGCATAGAAAGTTCAGAATGTCGTGGGAAGTATTTGCCGTAACTGAATAGGGCCGCAAAACACGACAATTTAGATTCATGCAATGATCGCTCTTAAACAATTTTAAACTAGAAATATAAAATAATTGTCTAGTCTGGTATCTTGTGTATCTCAGCTACCATCAGTTATAAATCAACTAATTAAAACAAACTCTTCTATATACTCACAAACATTAAATCTATGAACACAAATTATTTTATTAACAACTTACTTCAGGGATCAAACTAGGATGAAAAACTAAATAACCATTAGTATTAACAACGAATGCGTAACCAATTGGATAGAGCTGAAAATAATGATTTTATTGACTATTTAATTAAACTATCGAAAATAAACGAATCACAATTAATACGTTAATTTATTTCAACCTATTTACCGGGTATACAGATTTGTATACTCGACTTTGAGTCGCTCTCCTAAGGTATATGTGAAGACTAGTAATACCACCACCACTACCCAGTTACTTTAACCAAAATAGGTGAAATGAAGTTTGAGGCTACAACTACTGACTGATAGACAGCCAAATGGACTAAACACGTGCCCAACACTCCATCGATTAATTGACCAAAGGATATAAAGTGAAGCGTATTACAAAAATTCGAACTAAAACTCAACAATCGCTTGACATTGAAAAATGTCATTATTTAGGTCAATATACTTGTATCAATTTAGTATGCACTTCGTTTCATATTATAGGTATGAGCTTCCATGCAGTTTAACATTTATATTTCTTGGTGTCCATTTGGTTAAACCATGTTCATTGTGTTTTTCCAATAACTCATTAAATTTTTCCTATATATGAGATTATTGTACATAAAAATTAGTACATAAAGGAGTGTATTTTGGTCTAATGATAACTTGTTTTGGGAACATGTTTTTTGAAAAGTCGACCAGTCCATCAAACCTTTATCCGTACATCCACCGTGGGAACTACAGTGGGTTCCCGTTTCCAAGTATAAGGAGTAAGACCATAGATACAAAAGAGGTGAATAGGTGATCGCTATTCATATTTTTCATTCATCATTTTATCTAATTCAATAATATATTTTAACAAGAAACGATATTTAATCATAAATTTGTTCAAAATTTACAACAAAAACGTATATATTTATGTTAGGTAAGTGTTTTTTTTCTCTCTTAATCAGCGCATACACATTCGATTAAATTTACAGCTGAAAAATGTCCTAACATTAAGTTTAATGGTAGGTTTTTGTTATTCTGTCCTTAAAAAGAATCAATATGGTCTGAGGTAAATCTTTATGTGACTATTATTACTCTTATTCGTAAGTGACCATTTTTTAGCTGTTGACATTTAAGAATAAGTTTGATCAACCTCTATTGGAATATGGTCTACTAATGCGAATTCTTCTAAACTGTTAATGATTACGAGTTTATGATAGTTTTTAAGGTAGAGTATTGCGATAGTTCGGTGAAGTACGCTTTGAAATTAGAAGTAACAGATACTTGACCTGAGTCTCATCAAAATACTGATACCAAAAATTAAATCGATTCAAATAATGTCATAAATAGCATATATGTGATGTCAACCGCTACACCTTGTATGTCATCCAGAGTATTGTATCAGACTACATAGATGATTGAGACGGGTTAGAATTCCAATAAGAAATATTAGTTCACCTAAGATTTTAGGTACATGTTGCCGATACGCGCTAACTAGAGTGAAACCTAATTCGAGAAATGTTTCCTAAGGGTTGATTTTAACCATTTAACATAGTTCTTGCAATGTTAATTTACTTAGACTAGTGATCACATTGCAACTTAATTGACAGAATTTGATGAGTATTAGAAATGGGTTAGAATAGTATGAAACTGATTATTATCAGAAGGGGTTTGTGCAGATTGAAATCATGAGTCAGTTGAATTTAGACCACCATGGAAAACTTGGAAGCACTGGACGGCCATTTTGTTCTAGTATGGGACTCCTCAGTAGTGCGTACTCACGATCCCGTAACCCGCGGGATTCGAACCCAGGACCTACTGGCTTCGCGCGCGAGCACTTAACCATTAGACCACTGAGCCCGCATCCAGTGATGTTAATGTCTAACTCCAACCATGGTCTAATGGTTAAGTGCTCGCGCGCGAAGCCAGTAGGTCCTGGGTTCGAATCCCGCGGGTTGCGGGATCGTGAGTACGCACTACTGAGGAGTCCCATACTAGGACAAAACGGCCGTCCAGTGCTTCCAGGTTTCCCATGGTGGTCTAGCTTCAACTGACTCATGATTTCAATCTGTGAAACTGATTATAATTATTGTCCTAATTAGAAAAAAACCCTGGAATTTCTCCTGTAAAATCACTTAACATTACGAGACAAACAAATATTTCGAAAAAACCGACCGACTATTTCATCCCAACCAACTTATATTATAAATCTGCACTGATGATGTAATTCCCGGTTCACAAATTACAATCTTGAAATATCAATATGCATTTACGCATGAATACAAAGTAAAAAAAAAGAATAAAGGAAGTTACTTTTGATTGAGGTAATCCATACATCATTAATTCGATTGGTAGTTCTGTACCCATAAGGCCCAAGAATTGTAACTTTTTCTGAAATTGGTTGTTTGTTTGTTTTTGAATAAAAGTAGACTTCTTAATCACAAACATGGCTCAGATAAATAAATGTTTTAATCAAGTGATCTCTGAAGATTTGTACAGTTTAGAGGTGGCTTTTTATCATGAAATAATATCACATAAGGAAATATCGGAAAAATCATAGAGCAAATCAAAGATGCTAAAGAGGAAGTATGTATTTGTAAAATCTCAGCGAAAGAATTTGAAGTAAATCTATTGATAATTTTGATGTTTGATTATATTTCCTTGAGAGAGCTTGGACCAGATTGCCAGGCGAAACGTTGGATTTACTTAAAATTCATTCGCTGAGATTTTACAAATAAATACTTCATCTTTAATGTCTCACATTAACTCGGCGACCAATCACAGTGAAACTTCTCGATCAAATTTAGAAAAGTTCTTATTAAATGAAAGATGCGTTTTATATACTTATTTACAGTTGAGTGAACTTCTAAGGTCAAAGGAAAAGAGGAAGACCAAAGAACACATTACGCCGAGAAATGGAGATAGATATGAGAAAAATGAAAAAAAGTGGATAGAACTGGAAAGGAAGGCCCAGGGAAAAGTGGGTTGGAGAATGCTGGTCGGAGGCCTATGCACCATTGGTAGTAACAGGCGTAAGTAAGCAATAAGGACTTCACTACCCAACTTTAATCGTTTTCGAATGTCACTCACCAAGAAAGTAATATATTTTTCCAGATACACTGAACATGGATTTCCTGAAATGTTATGGGACGCAGTTACTCATGAAGTTGAACTAGTCACGGCCAGTTTCTTGGCTGTCGGGTTGTAAAGATATCAGCGATAACATGTCACTTCAACGTGAAGTAGAAGTTAAAAATGACAGTCAGAGCTTCGCAGTTAAACAATCAAGTTCCCTTAATACAAAGCAAGAAAATAATAACTGTTCCCAGACACCCATACTGAGCTCAAAGAATAGAAATTACTTCAGATATTTTGTGCGTTTTCAGCCACGAAGATGATAAGAAAACTGTGTTGAGTTTCAAATGACTTTTCACCATTTATATCAGCTTTAGAAACATTAATTGAACAGCACTTTTATCCTAGTTAAAAAATCCTAAAGAATATGTGCTCACTATCTAATCTAAGACCTAATCTAGAACCTTCGTAGTTCTCAACAATCCCGACACTACTTTCATACACCAGTGAACTGACATCTCATCTTCTAAATTTATGGTTGGTGTACACATTATCGGTGTGATGAAACAAAATTAGTTATATCAAAGAAGAGTATGAAAATCTCATCGACTTACAGTTCGATTATAAACAGGCATAGATATACTAACCATTAAGCCTGTGCCCTAAAAAGGTTAAGTGAAAATAGTGTTTCGTTACAATGCTGCAACAAAATTCATGTTTTATGTATATTAAATCATTACGGTTGAATATACAATACATTGAGTGATTTTCTGTTTAAACAATCTAAATGTGGTTGTAAATGAATAATTTAATACTGTTCGCCTATTATTAGTTGTGTAACGTTTGGATACTGTTCCAATGGCAAGAGTTTCAGACAACATCCAATATGTGAACTTCATAAACAACATGCTCTGATTTTTTTATTATGTGATATTATACGTAATAAAATGTATCTCTATCTCCGTTAATACCAAACACCTCGACATTAAGTCAGTTAAACTAGATTATATGTATATATATCAGTAATGACACGTCAGATTTTTCAAAATAACCAGTAAATACTTACAGATGAAATGAAGTCGCTAAATCCAATCTACAGATAACATGCATGTACATGACAAAATCAAGCAGACTTTATTCTTGAATGTAGAGAAGCAGACGAGCAGACGGATCGGAGGGGAAAGAAAGCAATTAATGTTAATATTACTAATATTATTTAAAGAGCATGCATCTGATGAATTACGACAATCTTACTTTATATTGATTTGTATGTAGTACATCTGATGCACCATGTAGAATTACTTCAGTTGGTAATGGACTAGCATTTGGTCCGAAGCGAATTTGAGTTGATTTTTCATGAAAGTCCTAAATAATATGAAGTACCATTATGGTGAACAAGACAATTAAGCACATCTACTCGAGATGATCATCACCACTTTGTATTCTCTTTATTCTTTTTCCGGCTGCTTTCCTGCGTGTAATACTATTCTGTTTATTATTATTCAGTAGCTAAGGTTATATTCAACCACTTTTCAGGACCATTAGATTTTAGCTCTTGAAATTTCTCTACTGCAATTATCTAATAGTCTTACTGACCTTTTATAATTTCAATGTTTGAGTTGTTTTCCTACCTGTAATAAGTTTTTTCGCAATTTACTGTCTAGTCTTCATTATGTGTGCTATTTCTGGAAGCTTATTCATTTTAAGCAGCTCATCTACCTTAAAAACAGCGAATAGTTCGTTTTTTTGGTTGATATTACCGGTATAACATAGTCAGCTATATACCGTTCTGTGTGCTATGGTACGTTTACGCTCATCTAATTGAATAGATGACTCGCTATCTTCCAAATCACTAATGTTTTCCAAGCAAAACTCATATTTTCGTTTCAGTACTTTAAAAGAAAGTTGGGTATTGGATTTAGATATTTTAAAAAACTATATTAATGATTCCACCATCATTCAAACATAATATGGTATACTAATTTGTTGAATCAAATTACAGTGCTTAAAAATTTTATGACTTGTGGGATTGCGTCCCTATCAATATATATGACGTAGTGATACCACCAATTAGAGAACAGTGAGTTCTCGACTGGACCGATGATGCACAAACCCGTAAGAGCAATCTAGAGTCCTTACCGGTCCTTCTTCCTGTCTAGCTCTGCCCGTTGAGACCAGGACACCAATCTCAGCCTCCGCGATATGAATCATGTATTTCAGACATACTGGGTTTATATACAGACTAAACAGACCACATCGCACAACGAAACGGAAAACATTTGTACAAGATCTAGCCAAAAGTGAATGTGAATGTGGGAGACTGTAATTAATAGACTGGGTAGAACTCAAGATCGGTAAGTCGTATAATAATAGTCTATGAGAAACATGAATATGCATAGTTTAGCTACTTAATAGTTATACAATAAAAATATATGCATCGTTTCGGTCCATAAATCGTTCTCAAGAGTTGGCATTCATATTTCTCGTTTGAATATAACAAAAAGCAAATCGTTTATGAAACCTTAAATAATATCCGTTTAATTTCCAGGACAGTTCATAGAAAAGCCTAGTAAGAACAAAGATTCTAGCAGAATAGCATGAAATCATTTTATTTCGTTGGTTTCTAATCAGCCGCTGACCACCTGTAATAAATGCATTTATTACATCATTGAGTTTTATTTCAACTAACTTCTAAATTAGTATTCTTATTTTATCAACTGAGCTCTACTCATTTTATTCCCATCAACGTGTATTCATTATGAAAACACTTGTTTCTGGCCTTTTGAACCGCTGTCACATTCAATGTTAAGTAATGTTCTTTCACATAAGGTATATATTTACAATATTCAGTATATTCAATTTATTTACACCTTTGCTATACTATACTAATGTGTCTTCAATATAACTTCCAACCAAACCCTTTTATGTAAGTAATTTAAATTCATTATGTAATTATGATATTAAATGTCGCAGGTTGTAAGCAGCCGACCAGAACCAACGAAATGAATTTATGCTATTCTGCTAGAATCTTTGTTCTTGCTCTTTTCAAAATGATAAAGAGAACTATGTGTATGAAAAATCTAGTAGGTTTTCAGCAGACTGTATTAGTTATTAACCAGGGACGATAAGTGTCATGGTATTTTTTTGTACTATGTAACTGAGAAGATATGAACATTGAAGCTCATATTTAGGATATCTAAAAAACATTTAATAGAGACCCTGGTATTGGATTAGTCAAAGGATACAATTGTAGAAATGGGGAATGGAGTTACACAAATAAATTACATTTCTTTGCTTAATAATGTAGACAGAGTGATACATCTGAGATTTGGAGGATGATGCTAAGTTTCTAACACAAATCAACAAATCCACTATAATTTATTGTTATGGGCATCAGGCTATTTGGTTCGAATCATTATCAATGATGTAGATGTGCACATTCTTTATCAGCCAATAGTTATCCAAAGTTAAATATTTCACCTTCACATTTTATCTGTTAATACTTATGCTAGAACTCCTTGAAAATTCCTCGGAAATATTTCCAAAAGCTGAAAAAACTAGTTGACAGAAGCTACTTAGATAGTTTGAGAAAAACATGTAATTATTTGTCATATTTGGACGGGGTAATTGATGGCCCTTTTTACTAAATTTAGCATATTTCTAAAGGCTTCTAGAATATCAAGACAACAAAGAAATCTATAAACATCCTTATTTTCTGTTCTTAAACTAACCCTGGAAGTAAATCTTTTCCCATAACTCCTACTTATATCCTCTCTCATTTCATATTTAAGTATACGCAATTTCTGGGGGAACTAGAAAATGGTTAAAAAGTCAGTTTCAAGCATCCGAAAGCCAGTCAAATTAACTTTTAGTCTACCCCGATTTTTTCGTTTTCCAATAACGTCAATGTTGATATTTTTCACTTCCAGCACTTATGAACTATTTGAGCTTAACTGGGTTATTTCGTACAGTATTATTGACATTTCTAAGTGTTTATGTATGTTCATGCCCTCAAAAAGAAGCTGCTAGTATTTCTAATGAGCTTATATAGATGTCTAATTAACTAGGAAATTGTAAAGACCAAAAAAACTTTACGATTAAAATTCAAAAAAAGTCTTTCCTACAGTAAAACTATAGCTTTAAATCTAGATGTACCACTAGTTAGCCCATACCGTTGTTAAACACCTATTTGGACAAACAATAATTCAATTTATTTCAAGATGTTTATGGCGATTAGTTCGATTTATAGGTTGTACTCGTAACAGATTTATTTCAATTATATTATAATAAATTTGAGAGCATGGGACAGCCGTTTTGTCCTACTACTGGACTCATTAACAACACACTCCCACTATCCTGCTAAAGACTGTACCCAGAGCATTTAAATCACACGGACAACCAATCTTTGACGAACCGTCTTCAGCTAATCTATTAATAGTCAGCTCATTAATGACTTATTTTGAAATGTCCCTGAAGTTTTAATGAGAAGTTTTAGTTGATGGAATTCAGATGTCTGAAGTGAAGCAGTTGTCACCAATCACATCGGATGATTGTCACATTATATTGTACCTTTTGATCTCAACTCAGTGGATCTAATGGCTAAGCAATCCTCAAGAGACTTGAAGGTTCTAGATTTGATAACTGACAAGGCTGAGCTTTAGAAATGTCTGATGTTCCCCAGTTTTTCATTATATTGACTGAGATCAGTCTATGATTGATACAACCTTATAAAGTCACAATCATATATAAACTAAAATAATAATCATATAATTACCTTCATTAAATTTGAGACTGCTCCGACGGTCGGTAGATACTGATAATAGTCTAAAGGAATATTAATTAATATCAGAACTATTGATAAAACAATACATTTAAGGAAAAATTTGTAAATGTAATATACTACAGGAATGAAAAGAAATAGTTCTGTATTAACAAAAATTGAAATCAAATTAGTTGATGGAATAACTGTGGATAAATGAGTAAATGTTTTAAATGTTTCTTGTTGAAATCTATTCAATAAACAACTTTAGATCCTCATAGAAGTTTATTTTACTATGTTACTGTGAACAAAGTACGCGATCCTCCGCACTTTCATCTACTCATACCTGAAAAATGACCATTAGTGAAACGACACTCCATGCTGTCACTTATTTCAAACTACAATGAACATTAGTTAGGAAGATGTTGAAATTTATAGGATTTGCTTGATTATTAAGAGTTTATCAAACTGTCAGGGTTAAAATGAAATTAAGATTTCAAAATATTGCACTACACTTTAATTTCAAATGTATAGATTTACCGTTTGTTGCACACACTTTCATTTTATGTTCATAAGCTGCTCCAACAGGTTCACCAAGGGAATAAATAAATGTTGTAATCTACGGTACAAAATAAGTCGACAAATTATGTAGTTGACAACATAACATATTGATCCAACTGAAGTAGTAAAAAAATCTTAATTTGATAAATAATACTAGAATAAGCGATGTTAAATCCTGTATTAAACGAAGTGATTTGTCGCACTATTAAGTGATTCAGTAAAGTAGTTTGTGAATCTTTAATCAATTCAAAGACATCATGAAGAAATAGCATTATGTATTCTGACTTAAATTTGAATCAGTTAATGTGCACTGTGACAGGCCTCTCTGTCTCGAGATCAAATAGTAGGTGGGACTTTTAAACAAGAAATGCTATTGGAGGATTATTATGTCCTTAGTAAAGTTCGCTTGTCATTTTCTGGGTCAAAAGGACAAATGTACGTATGTTTGAACCTATGATTTACCAATTATAGCTTCTTAAGGAATCCCGTTGTCTCGTTTTCATTAGTGTTTAAACAAATACGTACACATGTGTATTTGAATTGCACGGTTGTGGAATGTAGTGCTATGTTTATTTCTGCTATTGGTATGATTATGGAGTTTTATGTTTTACGACAAATACCATGTCATTCAAACTTTAAGTTCTAATTTATTTTCATTATTTGTCAACTTCCATATAATCTGTGTTCCCTATCGAATGTCAACGATACCCCTGTACTTACTCTATAGAGTTCAATTCGACACTAAACTTTGAGATATATATCACTCAATAAATCACACTAACTAAGGTTGAACCCATAAAATTTAGGCCTCATGATGAGGCCTTAACCTACAGACCACAGAGTCTACATTTTTTACTTCAATCATCATGGTCCCTTGAAACATTGAATTCAATAATCTCCACAACAACTTATAATAAAAATAATTAATAACGGTAGGGTTTGTTTTTCATGTACAGTTGGGAAAACTGATGACAAGCATCAATAAATGTTTTCTTCAGAAATTTCAAACTACAAAGCTTAAAAATAAAAATTTCCAAACACGCATAGGGAATGCACTCAATGAATGTGGTAATTTTGACGTACAGTATGGTAATTGTCAAACTTTAAGAAGCCTTTGAATAAATAGATATTAGAATGACGAAATTTTACATGTTAAGCATAATAATGAAATTACTCAGGTGAAAGTTGAATCAGTAAGAAACATTGTTTTACAATCATATTAACAGAGATTTAGCTTATGCTATACATCCGTTTTGAACTTTTTAAATGTTTGAAAATAGTAAATTATCAATGGACTGATATTAACTTATACTCGGTCCAACTTCTACAAACATAAATTTTATCAGAAGGGTTTTGTGGCGATTTTAGAAATTTCAACAGTTGAAATCATGAGTCAATTGAATTTAGACCACCATGGAAAACCTGGAAGCACTGGACGGTCGTTTCGTCCTAGTATGGGACTCCATAGCAGTGCGCATCCACGATCCCGCACCCCGCGAGATTCGGACCCAGGGCCTATCGGTATCGTGCGCAAGCACTTAACCATTAGACTACACCGTCAGTAGTTGGGGACGCTAATTGACACTAACGACGACACATCACAGAGGTGCATATGCACTCATTCTTTATCTTCCCCTAGATTTTTAGTTCTGGTATTACTTTCGATTATCTTTTCACCCTGACACGTCTCAAAGTCATAGAAAGAGAAATTTAAATTGATCAACTCACATTAGACTTTTGTTGTTTAAGCTGCGAAAGTACAGATTCATCAAATACAAATGCATTATCTGTCATTAATACAAGAATTTTATTTCTTAATTCTTTACCACGATCTCCTCGTTCACTTCCAGTTAACTAAACAAAAATCGTGTACAGATTAACTGAAAGAAAATTAATCTGACTAATTTTCTGGAGAAAATAATAGATTGATAAAGCGGAATCTAGAAGATTAACTGGACTTTATCTAGAAAAAAAAGATTGCAACTGCTTGCCGTAATGAAAGTGTCATTGAATTTATACATTGATTCTGAAGATCTACGTCAGTTCTGGTCAATTAAGCTCATCACAACTAATTTTTAATGACATCTACACGGCTGGATGAATAACATAAGCAGTATATGCCATAACGGCTTTCAAAATTCAGCAGAAATCAAGCCTGAAATTTTTCTTCTAAATGAACTATGTTCATTCTTTTGTATTACACCGCAATTCCAAAGTTAAACGAAATTTTTTCATACCTACTACTATTAAGTAAAATTTTTTGCTTATAAGTTTTATTCACCATATGTAAAGTGGGAGAAATATGTAATGAAACAAAAACTTAAGAAATAGTAACTATTTTAGGGACTATTACTATATTCTTATTGCATGATCACTAAATATATGGACTATTTTGTTTTTACATTCCGTTCACCGTGAGTTCCGTTTAACACATTACCTATTATTATTATTAATCAAGTAGCTACAACGTAACTGGATCATAGTCACTTCTCACCTGTTCATCAATAACTATGACACACTATTATATAGTATGTTACATTCCACTATTTCTGTATACAAATCACATAGGCTTGGAATAGAAACGATAGAAGATTGACTGCTATCGACATTTGTTCGACACACGACCAGAAGTTGATGGATATTAAAAGCCTACAACACCAACTACTACTGTTTTAAGCATATATAAATTTTTCTTGCTATCTAATAGACCAGTATATTTACTTATCTTGCGTCGCATTTTGACCTTGTAGATTATTCGATTAGCAACCTTGGCGTTTTTTTTACATAAACGTGATTTTGTGTACTGCATATCCTACTCATCTCAAGTTTGTGAATCATTTTCGTCTGGTTACGAAAATATTGGGTCACGTTTGATCAAATCCGAGTTGGCATGTTTGTCTTCTCTGGTCTGTTTCTCCACTTCGTGTCTCTGATTGTCTGTTTAGGTCAACGAGTGTATGAAATATACATGTCCGAAATTCATTCTCTGATTTGGATTATATCGTTCTGTAAATTCACTAACGCAAATTAAGTTGGAAATTTTATATGAGGGTGTCCGGGATGTATATTTCGGTAGCATCACCTGCAACTTTAGATGCGGCCTGCTTGAATATCTGGGCTACCTAATTCCGCAATCTAATTATTTCACCAAGTTATGTTTTCTCCTTTTGTTTTAACGTTTCATTATGTCCATTATTCGCATAACCTATACAGGCACGTTTATGAAAAGCCTACGACCTTTCGCTGCACAGCCCGAGCTCTGTTTCGGGGAAGCCGCTATAGTGAAATTTGGGAAAATTCCCTAATATTTCCCCGAAATTCCCCTTTAACCTTGATTAAGGTCATTTGACTTCGGGAGTTTCCCGAAATACCCAAAACTTAAGAGCTCGGGAAGTTACAAAAAAGTACTATAAAATATATCGTGGTGGTTGGCGATGTGCGTTAAAGAGAATGAACATTATTCGTATGTCGATTCTCGAGCTGCCAAATTCTAACTCCGGGTGACTAGTCAACAAAGTGGACAATCTTCGATTCCTACTAAATCAAAATACGTATCGTAATTGTGGTGTCATAACAATCCAAGAATCTTGGTTGAATAATTTACAGAACGAATGCCTAGTATCACTACGTGATTTCAAAATTTATCGTCTGGATCAATCGAACAATAAAAAGAGGTGTGACGGCGGTGCCCGAGCTCCCAAGTTTGGGGGAATTTCGGTGGAACTCCCGAAGTCAAATGTCCTTCACCAATGTTCGAAGAAATCCCCAAATTCAAATGACTTTCACCAAGGTTAAAGGGGAATTTCCTCAGGTCTAGGGGAATTTTGGGGTTTTTGTGCCATTTCCGCAAAGTTTACTATGGCTGCTTACCCAAAATTGGGAGATTGGGTGTAGCTACGTTTGTAAACGTGAACTGGTGCCGATCTTCGTTTGCGTGTTTCAAGTTTTTAAATGACTTTATCGACTGTCTAACTCTAAGATGTCGCATTTTTTGAGGAACCTGAGAGGGAGGTCGGATTAGTATTGGTCTTAACAACCTTAATTCCATTATTCCTCTAATTCTGTTATTATCTCGATCGCTTTCCAATTTGCTTCCTTTCTCTTCACTTCAATCTTCTGCTCTACCAAGTATTCTACTTCCGATCGGTGCTACACACTACTTATATTTGTAAGCATAAGTAGCATACACCACAAATACCCTTGAAGTATGTACACTACGATTCAGTTTAATCAATTAAAACTTCCTAATAATGTTCAGTATTCTAACTCACACAGCGGTTGGGTTAAAACTTTTAGAATCTTGTATAAGCTGTTATTTAATCGGTTATTGAAAACTACCACGTGGTCTCATCCTATTTTCCCGACAGACTACTGTGTAATAATGTTAATAATTATAAACTCGATCGATAAATAAAATAGTTGGGGATTGGATTTTTCTTACTGAATGATCTTTATGTTTTCTTCGATAAATCGGACTAGATGACGGATAGATCTTTATTGATGATCCTACATTTTGATTTATAATCTTAAGAATGTATACATCCATATTTCAGTGTCTAACTACTAGGTATTTCTATCCTTATTCTTGATTTTATAACTGACTAACAATCTGCCCAATTTATTGGTTATCATTTCTCTTGCTTCTCAAGTATATTAAGTTGAAATGTATGCACCAGATCGCAGTTTGCTTGGCTCAGATGATTGCCAGCTGTAATACTTTCAGTGAACAATCTTTTGAATTATAAATAATTTGTGTAACTATACTATTGTGAAATGTTAAGTGTTTGGAGATAGTCGTCAGGATACCCGAATTGATCTAGGATCATCAGGTGGAAAACCCTCAAAACCAGAGTGGTGAGGGTACGAATTATACTGAGAGCATCAGTTCTCCAAAGATTGGAGGTACACTACATTGACTAGTACTAGCTATCACGAAACCTATATCTAGGATTTCCTCTCAATTGTCTTCAATCATTTAGTTGTCTACATGTTATGAAACCAGTTAACGTTGTTATATAAGGGATAGTTAAACTAAAGGATTTCTAAAATATGAAAGCTGTAAGAATTTCACTTACATTACGAAACATTTCATAAGCGAATTTCAATGATGCTGGAAAATCGGAATAACCACGTGCTTTTAAAGTACTCAAATCGTAAAACAAGCGCTTGAGTTTTGAATACAATATTTAAAAAAGGAAAACGTATTAGTAGTTATGAAATAAAAGGAAGTTGACATGAATATGTACAATATTTACATTAGGTTTTCTGTTAAGTTTTTACTTTCGGATAGGATTTCCTAATTCACATATATTAATGGGAAAGGTTCACCTAATGGGTGGATAGACTGGTCCTCGGCATTTCATATACTCGACAAACTAACTAAAAACACAAGGTTCATCTATGGTGTATCCATTAAAAACACGAGCTAGGCCAAAAGGCTTTTAGTGAAACTTGAAAGAAACTTTAAGAAAATTTATAATATTCTAATGACTATTTACAGAGATCTATCATTAAAGAGAAGGGTTCCTTTCAAGTGTCGTTTAGGTAGATGGTGGTTACACATACGTAGGACATGTCCCAGACACCTCAGTCATTGTAGATCTAAAACCTCAGCATCGCTCAACTGGTTTTTCTACCACAGGTTAGCAATACTTTTAGGACACCTAGGACCAGATTATTGTAGACTACTCATGTATTCTACTTTCATAGGCCATGTTTCAAACTAACAGAGTAATACAGAGCAGTATACTTGACCCTTAGCTGACAGACAGATATTTTACAACTCGTTACCGTTGAATTGATAAAATGAACCCAGGGGTAAGAATCTTCAAAATTTAGTTGATGCACAATTTTCTTTGGCTATCATGAACAATTTTGTGTCTTCACTCTTAACGTGATTAACTTCATACAGGTCATAAGTCCTAACTACTAATTTAAGAAATCTATCTTTCCTAAGTGAAGTAAAAGAAATGGTTCAGTTCTTGGCCTGTGCACCATAATTTCTATCCATTCATCTTCCAAATAATCCAAATGGAAGGGGAAGCAAACAATACTCAAAATAAAAATGTAACTGACCATTTTATTACGTTTAGTTGCCTGAACAAATGAATTAAAACAAATTGGTTCGCTTTCATTATTTGCTGTGACAATCATTGGTGCAACATGATCTTTAGCTCCAGGAAACTACAAACAACAATTAAAAATATTTAAAACAAATTAAAAATAATTGTGAATATATATATATAGTGTAGAGCCATGATGAAAAACCAATTGAAAAGAAATTTCTTCGCTCGAATGATTAAAAATAAGTGACTGAATAATGGGTACTTGGTTAAATGTATGATGAGAATAAGAGTTTCGTTATAAAAGTGATTATTGCACAGTTAGAACTTTAGTGATAAGAAGAGTAACCTTAAATAATGAGTACTGTACTGTGAGACATATCATATGCTATCGCAATGGTAGATATTTAGTGAAAATTAATATAGGTCACTGTTCAATAATCAATCAATCGCAAATATCTAAGTACTTCAGGAGGTCAGTCGTGGTCCGAATAGTCCAGCGGTGACGTCCCTGACCATGAACTTGTGTGGTTTTCATTTGTCAGGGAGCAACAAACCCCTAGAGATTGCAGGTAAGTTTTGATGGCAAGTATCAACTAGCATAGAACCTAGGTCATGCAGGGTTTACTGATGACTACTTCCAACCATACGAAATCTCAGACTAGTAACCACATTGCGAATTGATCGATAAGATTCGATCACCATTAAGGGACCAAACCAATATCACATAATTATCTAAAAATTTCCTTCATATTAAAAACAGAAAGACCAACGGAAAATATACTTTTCAATAAGTGTTCACCAGGTTTTACAATTATCCGTCCAAATAAATGTGTTTTTATATTTTTCAGCCAATAATTCTAAATTTCTTAAACTGTAAAAGAGGAAACTCTTTGTTCACATTATGTGTTTTTAAATACGATATCCTTTATTACTAAGTGATCAAACATCTGAAGAGATTTTTTCATTTATTAGTTACAGGTTTTTATATCTGTTTTCCAGCCACTCTGTATGCGCAAAGGCTTTTGATATTATGCAGATACGTACAGTACGTTGAATGAAGTTCTAACGTAAAAAGTTGAGCTGGAACAAAGAATAAGTTTGGAGCAGACACTATACTATTTTAATGGTACATGATAGATTTTTTTCACTGAACTTTTGTTTATTACAAATAGACTGTTTAGAAAACTTGAGTAAAAAAATGAAACCAAAATTGTATAAATTTTAAACAGGAAAAGTTTGTCCTACATGTGCTACAGTGAAGTAATCATCCACATCAAGAGCTTCAATTAATTTCTGAGCTGATAAGTTAGCCAATTTTAATGACTGGCCAGTCATACTTCCACTCCTAAAATAACATTTAATAAAGGACAAATGAATTAACGTAAACAATATTGGGTAATGTTTAGTACTTTTGTTTATATGAAGGTATTTATCAAGAAGAAAATGGAACGAGCAGAAAAAGTAAGCTTTATCCAATATTTTAAGGGAGATCAATAAGAGAAAAACCCTATTAATATATCTTTCCTATTAGTGGTCACCCTATTAGCTAAGATCAAAAATGAATGGTTAAGTTTCGCATTCATATATGATATGATGGAATTATCTGGGGATATAGTCCACTTGCTTTTAAAACGGCAATGTAAAAGATTGACCTTGCTGTAACTCATTAGGTTTTCAGAAATACTTTAAGCTAGACTTAATTTTCAAATAAGCCTTGTTAATGAGAATTAACATGGATTAAATTGTGGTGCATTGTTATCTGTCAACATTACCATTCAGAACTAAATGCTTTCCACAAATTATTAAACAAAGTTATGTTTCTAAGAGGTTGGTTTACACATCATACCACTACTCTAGGTGTTAAATTGAAAAGAAAATGACAGTTTCATTTACCTTAGCACTAAGATAAGTGTGTCAAAATATAAACTTCAACTTCTTAGTTAAAATTATTTTTAGATTTGAATTCTATAACAATTTATTTAGCAAAAAAATCATTTTTCAATTAATTCATTTTCAAGATTCCACAATCGAAAATATATGCTAATGAATTCAACCATTATCTTTGTACAAAAAATAAGTCTACTAATCAATACTATCTAACAGAGAACATTCTGAAAGTTCTGATAAGAATCCGATCTTTTAGCCATTTGCTCATAGATAACATTTAAGACATCTTTGAACCGTTCAATGGCAGTATATAAAAAAATATCCAAACTTACGTGTCAAGTAATATGAACAGATCTTTGGGAACAGAAGAACCTTGTATAAACCTCATGTAAATAGAAGTGAAAATAGAAACACATTTACATAAAAAAATATTTATATAATACAGTATTAAACAAATAAATATACTTATACAAATAATATATTTCTAGGTTGTATTCTTTGCATTTTGGTGGAGTTTTGTTCTCTGAGCTGGATGGTTCAGTGCCACTCCCTGAGTGTGTGGAGCATTTCCCTCTTCGTGACCAGAGTACAGTGGCATCTCTCCCGTATATAGCTTTAGCTGCCCAGCTTGGGTCCAATGGGTTTCACTGATTCCGAGTACCACCAACTTGTATCTCCTCCTTTCCTTTGCTATTTGACTGGTCTTCTCGTTCTACCGCACTGCCAAGACGTTCCATATACCTATAAAAATTGTTGCTCTGGTTGTTAGAAGGGGCATCGGCCTTGTAGCCTCCGAAGGAACTTGGCTTTCGCACTGAGGCATCATAGTTCTTCTAAATGAAGACCTTCTAACTCCCAGGGCAGAGTTTAAATGGTTTGGATTATTTTTTCTTGTTAGCGTTTTTTTAGCGAGTTACTTTTCTACGGGATGGGGTCACTAACGCCATGCCAAACCCTCCTCTTTTACCCGGGCTTGGGACCGGCAGTAACTCTATAAGATCTACAGGCGGAGTTTTGTGACTAGTAGAGGAATGCAAAAGATACGTCTAATCCTGTTTGCTACTCGTCGGTTTGATGTACCTGCATCCTAGTGTTGATACTTATCAGTCATTCAGTTAACCTAACATATGTGTACATCGGTCTGAATTGTCATACCCCATTACCACAAAGAGATGAATTTGTCAGGGTGAATCCCAGAGTAGTAGAGGTAATAACAGTATTAACGATCATAGAAAAGATTAGACATCAAAAATACAATTCAGGAAGAAAGTACGAATTGGTGAAATACTACAAAGAGCTCATGAGGAATTTCGAAGTTTAAGGTCAAATGGAAGGAAATGAGTGAATACACCTGCCTCATTGCGAACGCTGAGCCATGTTACCCAAAGTCTCTAACCATTGATTGCAATAATCATGAGGACACCAACCAGGTAATCTACAATAATTGATACGACTCAGTTCAATTGTCACTGTTTTCATGGACTGATCTTTTGTCTTATTTTGGCCACCCCTATCTTTCTTTCAATCTACTTCCTCACCAGGTATCATTGTATTGAAGTAGTTGGTAGATGGACTTACGTAACACATGCCCCAGCCATCTTAATTAATGAAGATTCACTATCTTCAACTGGTTTACCATACTTACCTAGTAGTGTGAGCACAACCTCAGGATTGCTAGAGCGTTAGTTGCAAAATATGCAAACAACGGTTCGAGGACATCTATGGTAATTACACCCTGATACAGATCCAGAATCTATTTCTTCAAACACCAGTGAGTATCAAAATAGTCAATAACTTGTGTTTGAATCTCTTTACTATAAAGGTTTGTATCATTCCGTCGTTAGTATACAGAACTAAATTTAATCAGTTTTTTTTATTAACAAGTATCCCCCCTTCAACCTTTTGATTCACATTTAACGACAAAGGTTGGTTAATCACAGTTCTCAATATCGGCAACGCAGAAAATTCAAACCTTTACAAATAGCCTATCATCTCATATACTTGAAAAAGAAATATGTAAATAGAATCTTCTTGCATTTGCTAGCTTCACAAATGAAAAAGAACGAGTAATTTTCTTCATAAATCTGTTATAGACAATAATAATTCAATAAGTCTGAATTATTTCTTAATGACTAAATGGTTTGATATATTAAATCAGATGAGACTACAAAGTAATAGCAATAGTATAGACATAGAGCTTACTCGAAAACCAATTAGTCTAATCCTTTGCAATAATACTTACCATGAACGTCTACGAACATCAAACATATCAACATTTTGTTTTCTCCAAGGGAATGCTAAAATGAAAACAATAGCAACAAACAAATAAGTTTTCGAGAAATTGTTTCTGAAAACTGTTTGAGACATCTATTTGTACTTTTCATTTATCGCAGGTTTTATTCGTGAAAAATTGATCATATATGGGGTACTACTAAAAACCAAGCAGAGCTGAACGGATGTTTTGTTCGGCATGGGACTTGTCAACAGTGCCTGTCCACTTTTCCCTCAGAACTCTAACTAGGAAACTCCAACTCTAACACCAGGCACTGAACCATGGTTGAATCCCAGAGTGTGCATTTCCAACTCTTAACATAGTACAGAAGTTGTTCTGTGGTGATCGTGACGACTATTCGACTCTAGACATGGTTGATTTTTCCCAGTCATGACTGAATTTAAAGGCTTTGAGGAGATCGTCTCGGAAGTATTAAACCATGTCTTAACAAAACAATCATTTTCTCAAAGAAATTAGCTGCTTTTTCCTAACCTAATCCAAGTAAAAATATGAATGATGATTCGGACATTTAGTTAAAGGATTCTTTACATATGTTAGATGGTGATTGGTGGCGGTTAACTCTACTTGGCCTATTGACATAACGGATAGTTTAAAATATTCTTCTCTCTCTCTGTAGTATACTATGATACTCTAGATCGGGTATATGAACGGTACACAATATAGAGATTAGATCAAGTTATATCAAATACACGATTCACGACCAAGAGTGGAGAACCAAAGTAACTCTATGTAATACTTCATTCAACACAGTTACAAGCAGCCACTCCAAGTGAATTCAGAATAGAAATCAATAACAAGAAGGGAAATCAAATATCTAATAGTCAATAGGCTGTGTCTATTTGTCTATAGAAGCTAATTTCCTCGATATCTGACTCCAATAAATAATATCCCGTTAACTTAGTATTTAAGTAGACTAAATTTGCTAATAGTATTATGGATTTACTGGAGATTATTCAAAAGTCAGAACATCGGTTGTATAGTTTATTGCGAATCATTACCAAGATCCGCAGGAGCACAGAAAGCAAACACACAGGGAAAACAGTCAGTGAGTTTGGTGTTAAAAATATGTATATATATTTATGAATGTTTATCGATTGTGTGTTTCCGACCTATGGGAGAATAGATAAAGATTGATGTTCAGACATGTGCTCAATCAGACGGTTAACATTAATTACACGGCCATTTTTTACGTAATTTTACATGGTAGGTCAAATGTCTAAATTAAAACAAGTAGACAAATAAAGTAGTTGAATGTGCTTACTACCTTGTCAACACTTAACGATCAATCTCATTTTACTCTCACTATTATACATCTCGGTTTTGTGCTATTTGGCACGCACTAGAAAGGTATGTCTATAATTGATGCCATCTGGTGGATTCGACCACATACCAACCAGCATCACAATCATAGACATTACTACTGAGCCATTCGTATTATGATTGATCGCCTATCAAGCCACTTAGACTAATGACCGCATTACAACTTGACCTATAGAATTCTATCAGTACTAAGAAGGGCTTGAAATATATGACATTGGTCACAACCGAATGATCAATCAAGTTTAAGGATTCTTTACAGAATATGATATGGAAAGCCAAGCATCTTGTTTTAATTAGTCAAACAGTCACTACCCACTAGATTCAGAGAATTTGCAGCACGTCTGGTTGCTTTAGATTTCTTTCCACGATCCGAGATAAAGCCTTTTGTTTATGAATAACTAACGTTAATACTAAATGTTCTTTAACGTTAGAAATTTAAATAAACTATCACAACTTTGTAACGAATTCTTATGAAGATGTGTTTTTTATGAGCTAAATGGGCAACCACGACTCGAGAAATTCAGTTAAGTATACGTACGAGTAATGATATTTCAGTCCACATGGTGTATGTGCAAAAGTCAAGAAATGACAAAGTTCCATGATATCAACCTTGAATATTAAATAAGTAGGTAGTTTTTGTAGCTCCACCTAAAGCTGTTTTAGCATTACTACCGGTACCGATCGCGGACAAAGGAGAGTGGTTCGGCGTAGGGTTCTTATCCGCGACCCGTCAAACAAAACATTGTTAACAAAACGTAAACCAGGAGAGATCATTTAAGTCAATTGAATTCTGCCCTGTGAGCTGATAGGTTCTCAATTAGAAGGCTTATGAGGCCTTTTGGTGAAAGCCGAGATTCGTCGAAAGCCATGGGGCATATTTCACTTCTGACGACCAGGTCAATAAATGTAGGTACACGGAATGTCCGGACAATATAAGAGACCGAGATGACCATTCTAATAGCGGCGGAGAGGAGGAACGTTTTCATAAAAATTGATCTATATCAAAACGAGCACCTTTTCCATATTTTCTTAACTTGATGAATCATTGAAAGTGACTAATGTCATTTTTGTCTAGTCCTTTGTACTGATCTGATCCTATCGACCAAGTTACTAGCCTGAATAACTATGTTGAGATGCTAGATGGTTAGAAGTAGTCGAGAGGAAACCCCTGACCTACTTATAGTGTTATTTCGTGCTCGTCAGCAAGGAGTACACATAATTTTGAGGTGACATTTATTATGGGATTAGGCTCGGCATCACCCTATCTCATGTTTTGGGACGGTGCCACTGATTATTCCATCAGTGATTGGTCCCTTGTAGGACTGAGATACTTAAAACTGATTAATCAATAAGTAGTAACAAATGTCGTTTCCCCAATCTTTCAGTGTAGATTGAATTCTGTTGATCAATTTATCCAGTTTTTCTGTTAAGAACTTTTCAAGAAATTTCATTTTATGTTACAAATATATTGTTAAAAAATTCATAAATTTTAATATCCGAAATTATGAAGGATAACAAATAGTAAATTCTTGACTAGAGTATAATTCTGATAAAAGTATAACTATGTAACATAGTGCCGATCGATTCAACACACCTGGATATACACGTAAAATTCCAGTTAAACTTGCAAAATATGTAAAACGTAAATTAGGTTCGGTTGGAAATATCGAATCCAATACGTCAGTCCATCGTAAAGTATGGAAAACTGTAGAATCTAATAAAATTTTGTGAAATATTCAAATATTAAAAATAAATTATTACCACTCTAATATGATTGACTTATCACAAGATATAAAGCGAGTATAATCATCTTGATTTACATTTTATTCTAGGATAATAATAATAATAATAATAATAACAATGATAGAAAACATAAATATTTCGATAATTGAGATACATTAACACACACAATTATATTATTTCAATTGACTTTCGATAGTGACTGTACTGTAGATGAAACTAAATATCCAGGTTCATCTACCACACCGTATTACATTTTCTTAACACGTCTCGATCTTGTCTTTTACACATAATGGAGTTTAAAGCATTAAAGCTGTCACTCTTAATTTCTGTAATAAAAGGACGTTTGAAAAACTTCCTTCGCTAATAAGACAAAGTAAACGATTTTATTAATAATAAACAAATGTTTATGAACGAAAAGTGTGATTTTTGTTACGTCTGAGACACTAATCAATTCCACTTGCCTGATTCACCAATCGGAACTACGGCTGTAAGTTTGCTACCTTGCATACGCTATTCCGTCTTTTTTGTTTCAAGCCTTAATGAAAGATACACTCCGACTGACAAGATCAACCCTGAGCTGAGTCTAACATAAGCTTGACTCCCATCGGTCATCCGGTACGCACGCTTTCTATCCCCAGTTCTGAGTCTATTGAGAGAAGACAGCATGCAAGCTTCTATCATTGCATTGCAAGCAGCCAGTACGTATCTCAAGCAGTCATTAGTTTATGTATAGGAATTGTCTGACCGCGAATCACCGCAACTATGATATCATAAATTATATACAAACATATCGTAAGTAGGAGAGAACGAAGCAAACGGTACATAATTAGTTGACGATGATGAATTCGCATAACGACAGTTAATATGTCCACTGGAAGTTTGGTGTAAGGAGAATATAGAAATACAATAATGCACTTACCTGGTAACTATCGAATAAAGATGGCCGTTTCGTTTCAGTAAAGAACCCCTCATCAGAGAGCATTTACTTAATCCGCGCTCAGGAATCGTACCTAGGACCTCCGATCTAGAGCACGAACACGCAACCTTTCGACCACTCAGCCGACATCCGACGATTTTAGACAAGAATACTGTCAAATGCCAGTTGTCTTCTAGAGGTTAAGATTTCGAGTCCCATACATGGACAAGACGGACATCAAGTGCTTTCATGTTTCAATCGTAGTCTAACTTCAATCGGTTCATGATTTCAATGAAAAACAACGATCTCCACAACACAATACTGACAATTACTTTATATATTACGATAATATAATAAGAAGACGAAGATTATCAGAACTATTTGATATATTAGCGCAATACATTGCGAACAATCTGATCACACATATACTTGTTAAGAACATTTATATATAAAAAACAAAAGGTCAACTAGACTGGAAAAGGGATAACAGGAAACAAGGGTAATAATAATAATAATAATAATAATAATAATAATAATAATAATAATAATATGAACACAATTTGAAACCTAATCACTCTGGATAATAAGTCAATCTTACCAGGTTAGGTTTAAGGTGAGAACAAATTGTTTTTGAAGACACAAAGGGAGTTTGAATTTTCGGATGGCATAGGCTTCAAAAACCCTTAGTACACGCCCTTCTACACTTTTATGCAACATGTGGTTCGATAAGGTGCCTATCAGTCAGTCAGTAACAACGTAGAACTTCGTACGTACGTACATCAGTTCGAGTTGCCATACAACATTAGCATAAGGATACAATTGTCGATTCAAAACCCATAGTGGTATATGTAGTAAAAGTGTAGGCAGTAATCGTAAAGATTAGGGTTTGAAGATGTTATTCAATGAATATCGTCCAGTGAAATAAATTTAGAAAGAGAAAAAAGGGACATGAAGAATTTGGAAGATTAGAATTTAGGAGAACACAAAGAGTAGATTCACCTGCGCCATTGCAAACGATTTTGAGCCATCGGTTGCTATCATCTCGCGGATCCCAACCAGGTAGTCTACACCTGCCAACATGGCTCAGTCCACTTGTCAGTGAGTTCATGGATTTGTGCCATCTTTTGGTCTGGCCGCCCCTGGCTTTCTTCCAATCTACTCCTACACCATAAAACATCTCACGTCGGGGCAGTCGGTGGTTGGGCATACTTAACACGTCCCAGCCATCTCAACTGATGAAGTTTCAATACTTCATCAATTGATTTGCCATCCTTACCTAGTACCAATTTCCTAACAACTGAGTTACTTACTCGGTGGTCCCGGAATATACGAGCAATGTTTCGATGACACGCATGATGGAATACTAGTAATCTACGAATATCCTCTACTCTTACTGGCCGTGTTTCGCTTCCATAAAGTAGGACGGAATGAACTGCTGAGCAGTAAACCCGTCCTTTGGTTGGTAGACGGATATCTCGTCTACGTCATAAATGAGGCAACTTGGCAAAAGCTAGTCGAGCCTCCTGTGTCCGTGATGAGATTTCGTCACGCACCAGACCACAAAATCTGATGAGACTCCCGAAATAAGTGAAGCGGTCGACACGCTCAACTACTTCACTCCCTATCATTAGTTTTGGTGTCTATTCAACAGGCTTGATCGTATTTGTGCAAATGATACCATTGATAATGATGTTATGTTGGTAAACAAAATATTAATGGAGAATGGCTATCCTCTGAAATTCATAAATAGATGGAAAGTCAGTGAGATCTACTGTAGCATTTGTGAAAAAAAAGCCTATCTACATCACCTTACCATTCAGAGGTGATTCAAATAGCCTTTTACTGAAACAAGATTCATCTTAACTAGGCTTTTGTGGTGTTGTTTAAAAGCGTAAAAGGGAGTATACTGTTTATTGAAGCCTTAGCCATACGAAAATTCGAACCCCCGTTGTGTATTCAAAAACAATTTGTTCTCACCTTAAACCTAACCTGGTAAGATCGACTTATTATCCAGAGTGATTAGGTTTCAACTTGTGTTCATATTATTATTATTATTATTATTATTATTATTATTATTATTATTATTATTATTATTATTATTATTATTATTATTATTATTATTATTATTATTATTATTATTATTACCCTTGTTTCCTGTTACCCCTTTTCCAGTCTAGTTGACCTTTTGTTTTTTATATATATATGTTCTTAACAAGTATATGTGTGATCAGATTGTTCGCAATGTATTGCGCTAATATATCACATAGTTCTGATAATCTTCGTCTTCTTATTACATTATCGAAATTTATCAAAGAGACTAATTGCTTTAAATTTCTTAAAAGAAGATTCCCTGCACATATTTTACGTATTCCTGCTCCCGAATACTTTAGGGCTTATAGTTGTCTGCTTTTAACAAATAACTAAGTTGAAATAGAGAAACAACCTGTGCCCATACGTACTGTTAAATAACTTTTACACCTGCCCACTTCTTTGGTTTGTTAATATTTTTTAAACTTTAGCTACACTACTTATAACATTTTAGTAGCATGTTGTGTTTGACAAATAGCTTGATTTATTTACATAGTCCTCATGATTTACCAATTCTGTTTTTTTCACTATTGTTTCAACTTTTAGATCGTTTTTATGTCTGTATTATATTTCCTTCTCTTTTCCTTGTTCAATTTATGTTCCCTGTGCTGCTTTTTCAAACTTTATTTTTCGTTCACATCATGAACTTTAGTCAAAGAGGCAGTCAAAAGCATGGATAATTGAACAGCTGCCTAGTCATAGGTTGGCATTTGATAGTGATGCAGATTCATGGTCTTAAATAGAATTGAACCCAGCACCTCCAGGTTTTATAACATCCTTATACCTCCTAAAGATCAATTTAATTTCTCAAGAATATTCTCATTCTACTTTCAGTAAACCATAATAATTATCTTACATCATCACCGGCTGGTAACTCCGCCTGTAGCTCTTATAGGGTTACTGCCGGTCCCAAGCTCGGGTAAAGGAGGAGGGTTGGGCATGGGGTTAGCGTCCTCATCCCGTAGAAAACTAACTCGCTAAAAAAAACGCTTACCAGAAAAAATAATCCAAACCATTTAAACTCTGCTCTGGTTGTTAGAAGGTCTTCATTTAGAAGAATTATGACGCTTCATGGTGAAAGCCGAGTTCCTTCGGAAGCCACGAGGCCGATGCCCCTTCTAACAACCAGAGCAAAAAATTTTATAGGTACATGGAACGTTCGAACAATGTGGGAAACCGGGAAGACCAGTCAAATAGCAATGGAAATGAGGAGATACAACTTAGCAGTACTGGGAATCAGCGAAACCCACTGGACCCAAGCTGGACAGAAAAGGCTAGCTACGGGAGAGATGCCACTGTACTCTGGTCACGAAGAGGAAAATGCTCCACACACTCAGGGAGTCGCTCTTATGCTGTCCAAAGTAGCACGAAATGCACTTGTAGGATGGGAATCTCACGGATCCAGAATCATCAAAGCATCATTCAAAACAAAGAAGGAGGGGATCACAATGAATATTATCCAATGTTATGCACCCACAAATGATAGTAACGACGACATTAAAGATCAGTTCTACGAGCGGCTGCAGTCAGTCATTGAGAAATGCCCAAGAAAGGACCTAACTATTCTGATGGGAGATCTAAATGCCGAAGTCGGAATAGACAGCACTGGATATGAAGATATTATGGGACGACATGGACTGGGACAGAAAAACAAAAATGGAGAAAGATTTGCAAATCTATGTGCATTCAACAAATTGGTCATAGGAGGCACAATATTTCCACACAAGCGTAAACACAAGGCTACATTGATCTCACCGGACCACACTACAGAGAACCAAATAGATCATATTTGCATCAATAAAAAGTTCCGAAGGACAATTGAAGATGTGAGAACCAGGAGAGGCGCTGACGTAGCTTCAGATCACCACCTAGTTGTGGCCAATTTAAAACTGAAGCTAAAAAAGAACTGGACAAGTGGACAAACAGCACTACAAATGTTCAATACAGCCTTCCTTCGAGATACTGACAAACTCAATGAATTCAAGATAGCTCTCAACAACAGGTTCCAAGCCTTACAAGATCTACTGAAAGAAGAAGAAACTAGTATGGAGGACAACTGGAAAGGCATCAAGGAAACATTAACTTCAACGTGTCAAGAGGTTCTGGTTCTAAAGAAATACCATCATAAGGAATGGATCTCTATAGAAACACTGGACAGAATCAAATAAAGGAAGAACAAGAAGGCAGCAATAAACAACAGGCGAACACAAGCAGAGAAGTCCAAGCACAAGCTGGATACATAGAAGCAAACAAACAAGTGAAGAGGAGCATTAGAGCCGACAAGAAGAAATACGTGGAAGAACTAGCAACGACAGCAGAAAAAGCTGATAGAGAAGGGAATATGAAACAGCTTCAGGATACAACGAAGAAACTAGCAGGGAGATACAGTAAACCAGAGAGACCGGTCAAAGACAAAGAAGGCAAGTCAATCACCGAAATTCAACAACAGCGGAACAGATAGGTAGAATACTTCGAGGAACTCCTGAATAGGCCGGCTCCAATGAATCCACCGGACATCGAAGCGGCACACACAGATCTTCTCATAGACGTCAACCCATCAACGAAGGAAGAAATCAGAATGGCCGTCAGACAAATCAAAAACGGGAAAGCAGCGGGTCCGGACAACATACCAGCTGAAGCACTGAAGTCAGACATCGAAGCAACTACAAACATGCTTTACCTTTTATTCAAAAAGATTCGGGAGGAGGAACAAGTGCCGATGGACTGGAAAGAAGGGCACCTCGTCAAGATTCCAAAGAAAGGAGATCTGAGCAAATGTGAAAACTATAGAGGCATTACACTGCTGTCAATACCAGGGAAGGTCTTCAACAGAGTGTTGCTGAACCGGATGAAAGATGCAGTAGACGCCCAACTTCGAGATCAACAAGCTGGATTCCGTAAGGATCGATCATGCACAGACCAAATTGCAACACTACGGATCATCGTCGAACAATCAGTTGAGTGGAACTCATCACTATACATCAACTTCATTGATTATGAAAAAGCATTCGACAGTGTGGATAGGAGGACATTATGGAAACTTCTTCGACACTACGGAGTTCCTGAGAAGATTGTCAACATTATCCGGAACTCATACGACGGGCTACAGTGCAAAGTCGTGCATGGAGGACAGCTGACAGATGCATTCCAAGTAAGGACCGGAGTCAGACAAGGCTGTTTACTCTCTCCCTTCCTCTTTCTTCTGGTGGTCGACTGGATTATGAAGACCTCGACATCTGAAGGAAAACACGGAATACAATGGACAGCTCGGAATCAATTAGACGATTTGGACTTCGCAGATGACCTAGCCCTCCTATCACGTACACACGAACAGATGCAGATGAAGATAGCCAGTGTAGCAGCAGTCCCTGCATCACTAGGCCTCAGCATACACAAAGGGAAAATCAAAGTCCTCAAATTCAAAGCGTAAAACAACAATCCAATCACTCTTGATGGCGAAACTCTGGAAAATGTAGAGTCCTTCACATACCTAGGAAGCATCATCGATGAACAAGGAGGTTCAGATGCAGACGTAAAGGCAAGGATTGGCAAAGCAAGGACAGCATCCCCACAGTTAAATAACATATGGAACTCAAAACAACTTTCAATCAATATCAAAGTGAGAATCTTCAATACCAACGTCAAGGCAGTTCTACTGTATGGAGCTGAAACTTGGAGAACTACAACAACCACAATCAAGAAAGTACAAGTATTTATAAATAGCTGTCTACGCAAGATACTCAACATCCATTGGCCGGATACCATCAGCAATAGCCTTCTGTGGGAGAGAACAAACCAACTTCCAGCTGAAGAAGAAATTAGAAAAAGACGATGGAAATGGATAGGACATACATTACGCAAATCGTCGAACTGCATCACGAAGCAAGCCCTAACTTGGAATCCTGAAGGGAAGCGAAAAAGAGGAAGGCCAAAGAACACATTGCGTCGGATAATAGAAGCAGATATGAAAACGATGAATTACAACTGGACGGAGCTAGAAAGGATTGCCCAGGACTGGGTTGGATGGAGAAAGCTGGTGAGCGGCCTATGCTGCTTCACGAGGAGTAACAGGCGTAAGTAAGTAAGTAAGTAAGTAAGTAATCACCGGCTGGTAACTTTCTCACTCCCAACCTCTTCGACTTAATTGATTAGGAATCTGTCATTATTGCCCTTCACTTGAAATATTACATACTAGTATGAAATCCTAAGAAGTGAGCACCCGAAATTCTGCTAAAGATCGGACTTAGAATAATCAGGCATTGAAGCAAACGATTAGAATCCCATGGTCTATACGTATTACTTCAGCCGTTTCGCGGGACGTTTTGATAACCATTCAACTACTATCTATTACCCCAAAAAAATATACAAGTTAAATTAACCTGAGAGAAAATGCTACGAATACTTACCCCCATTGTATACCTCCACCGGTAAATGAACACCTGATTTATTTGGCATAATTTTGAAGTGATAACCAGGCGTATCAACAAGTCGTTTATCACCAAGCTTTAACTCACGTAGATCATTATACTTTGTGATATCTGGCTGATGAATTGAAAGATTTTATGTGGAACAGATGAAGAGAAAAAGAGATGAAATCTTTACCGACGTACAAAGAAATTAGATGGTATGTGACATATTATTGGTAAACTGAACTATGATGATGAGTTTGAGACGCTTGAAATGGGATCGATAGATTCTTAACGTTAATCAGCCATTTGGGAAATAGTAGTTACGATTGATTGCTATATTATCATTAGATTAGGATTTGGGCTCAGGTTTATCATGCTTAATTTAAGATTTATGGCTCAGGATCTAGATTAGGTATCATAGATAGTCGCTAAGTAACCTAATCCCAAATCTAACGCTAACTCTATATCTTACATTCTTCATCCTAATCCTAACTCAAACCTTACTATAAATCATTAAACACTAAATCTTAATCCTTATCCTAACAAATAAATACATCTTAAGTAGTTTAAGATATTTTCCTCTGTAAGATTTTTCGAGGCATAATCGATGGGCAGTAACTCCTACGTTTATGGTTAGCTTTCTTTAGCGAGTGAGGTTATTTACATTGCAATTGATAGTCAATATTCTTTCTTGATATTTGAAACGAAACTTTTAAGTGACCTGTTTGTTCATGATTCTCTCATCCTTATAGCTCGGCTCTGCCTGTATTATTTATCTAGTCGTTTATTTAGTCTTAGACAGAAATCTGTTAACTTTTATATTCTTGAATGGACTGTTATAAGACAAGACTGAAGTTGGTTATCGTTTTTGAAAACTCAAGGGTCAGGGTGGTAGTGGTGCGAAGGATTCACTCTTTGTCTTCCTCTAGGTTTTGACTTTCGATATTCTTTCATATACAACTTTCCTCTCTGTCTCTTAGGAACACAGTCTCAGGGTTTAGTCTTTTTCATTATGATTGTCGTCAGATTATTTCAATAGTTATTCTATTCATCCTGTTAATTTCGTCTTATCGAGTTAGTATGATAATGGTAACTTGGGCCAACACACACACATTCGTGTTAGGCTCTACGTCAACCATAATTGACTAATTAAATCACTCAAAATAAAGTGATTTAGTGATCCAATTAGCAGCAACCAAGTGAGATTAAATAAGAACTTTCGTCTAAATTTGATCGAATAGTTTCACAGTATTTGGGCGCCGAGTTGGTGTGAGACATTAAAGAGGAGGAATGTATTTGTAAAATTTCAGCGAATGAATTTGAGGTAAATCCAACGTTTCTCTTGGCAATCCGGTTCAAGCTTTTTCAAGGAAATATAATCAAACATCAGACTTATCAAATTATCAAAATTATTCGATAATTCTGATATTTGATTAGATTTCCTTGAAAAAGCTTGGACCGGATTGCTAGGCGAAACGTTGGATTTACTTCAAATTTATTCGCTGAAATTTTACAAATACATTCTTCCTCTTTGATGTCAAATGAGATTATTTGATGAAAGTCAGAAACATCCTAAAGGACAAGTGTACACCATTGGCTAAGAAATCGATTGATTTTCTAAGGGTTATATGTGTATACGTTATTCGATAGCCCGATAGGCTTTCTCCTTTTTTGTCTTATTTCTTAAGTAGTTAGTTGGGGGTCAGTACATAGGAGGTTGTGTATCAGCACTAGGTCTTGGATACAGCGCATAATAACATAAAGCCTATCTCATTCTGTATCACCATTCCGCATTGATTTGTATTGTTTTGTAACTAGTTCTCCTATCACAATACTAATGATAAACTTTTTGATGAATTTCAGATTTTTCAAGTTATGAATGACATCAAACGTACAGGTGCTTCTGTTGAAATGATAGAAAAAGTATATACCTCAGGTGGACCTTTTGTGTCACGTTATGTTCTTTACTGACTGGATAGTTGAATTACAATGCTTTCGTTTCCGTTCTAGCCATCATCATGAGTTGTAGTAAAATCAATTTTCCCATTTCAGTATATTACTTTAATGCTTCTCATTTGCCGTATTTTGAAGACTATTACTAAGCCCTTTTGATTTTATTGAAGTTGTACAGTAGTTATTCATGGAATCCAAGGGGCACGATTTGTTTTATGTAGTACTCGTCAGATAAATTTATTCCCATCTCAATGTTGATATTGACACTGAAAGCTCAATCCAGTGAGCTACTGCATCCAGATATGCATTAGCTCATACGAACTGATCGGCAATGCCAAAATGAAAACCCTTACGAATAAAAGCATTGACTGTTTAAAACAACATAATGTACAAAAAGTTATTTTTCGACATTTACCTTTAATTTGGGATTCCAAGAATATTTGGAAATTTCTTCTTCCGTCCAAGAGACAAGCATCTAATAGTTTAGAATAACATATAAAAAGGAATATAAAGATACGTTCTCTTTTTTCAGGTTAACTATTTCAAAGGGAAATTAGGTAGATGAACGTAAAAATATACTTGCCTGAGAAAACCTGATGGTTTGTGGACGCTTAGTATTGAATAGCTCCGCACTAAGACGAAGCCGTTGTCCATTTTCAGGGGTATTTTAAATGAGATAGATCTGTAATAAATATGGCCTTATTGGAAAATGGTTCACATCACAGAATGAAATTAGCTAGGCGGTTATCGAAATCTATGGAGTAGTAGGCAACTTCATCGCAGCAAATAACTAGACGATATCAGTCCTCACCCAGACCTAATAAGTAGATGAAACTGTTGACACTTATACCTCATGGCTAATATTTTTCTTTCAGACCACAGAGTTGATATTCAATAGTTCATATTTCGAACTTCAATCATACTAGTACAAATCACGTGCTCGTTGGTAGGTAATGTGGAGAAAAATTCCTTAAGTTTTACTAAGAAGCTATTGTCCGTGTAGTTTGACCAAATTATGAATAAGATGAGATTTACCGATGTCAATGAATTATGATCTTGAAATATCGAGAATCGACTAGTTAGAAATCTAGATCACCGGGTCTTGACCCCGCGACCTAAAGGTAACGATTCGCTTCAAAGGCTGAAACACGCTAGCTCTATTCTTTGGTTTAATAGAGGGTGAGTACTTCAAAGAAGTCCTATATTAGAATAAAACTATTGTCTAATGCCTCTTAGTTTTCAATTGTCTTCTAGATAAAATTATCCTTTGACTTGGACCATATTCAAACTGAAGAATCTTCGTAAACCTCGCAATCAAGTGTTTTAAAGATAATTTATATGAAATCTATGACTTCTAGATTACATTAGGGTTTAGTTGTTTGTGATAGAAAAGAAAATCTTAAAATTCCACCTCCCAAGCTTTCTTAAATACCCTCCATTTAATTACGTTATAAAATACCTGTTTAGGGTTCGTGAGGTTATCGTAATTAATTATTACAGGCGTTGAGTGAAAATGACTCAGGATCGGTCACAATCCTACACGTTCATTCACCCTCTTTCTTCCTTTCGGCCTTTGTTTAACACATTATTATATATTTCGGTGGGATTATAATTGATGGACAAACTTTAAACAATGCTGTATTGACCTTGAGAATTCCACCTACTTACGGGAGTTAAATTAGAGCTATAAATTCGTATGAGGAATCGGGATTAGAATTTACGGCTGGATATTAAGATTAGGAGTTAGATTTAGGGTTTTATTACAAAGTGACATCAGCTATAATACCAAAATGCCATTTAGCCATACTAATGAATGAATTTCGCGCCCAAATTCATGATCAGTTATCTTAAATCTGATTGCTGTTAATAATTCCAAGACTCTGGCATTTGTATTGATAATTTCATCACGCTGTGATAATATCGTGTGGCATCCTGAACCGATACACATATATGTCAGCTTCTACGTCGTTTCGGATTAACTGGCTGATATGCGACTACAATGAGCGATTTCCGGTCACTTCTGAGATCCGTCAGCTACCCTCGTAATCCATCGCGTCCATTGGAAACATGTCTCAATATAAAAGATCGATAAAATCAACATAATAGAATTTGTGACTTTTTGCTATACTTCCGCTTCTGTAATATCTTTTTCTTGCCAGCAATATAGACTGAAATAAAAACTATCGGAAACGTAAAAGTTTACAACTGAAAATTGATTAAAAAAATCTCCATAAAAGCAAATGGGGAAATAATATTAGCTTTTATTTATTCCACAATGCATACATATACAATTCAGTTAAACTTATACGAGGAATTTAGCAAACATCAATATTTGCGCCCAATAATACAAAATAATTTTTATTCAACATGAATGGGAATACACCACTGCACTTCTTTTCAATCCCACTCTCAAGGTCACTCCCTTAAAACGATCGATAGACAGTAGTGAATAGATAAAAAGAAGTGAACAAACAGATAAATGCTAAAACCCTACAAGGTAGATGGATTCCTATTTCCCTTGTATAACTAAGAACAAAACATAAATAGCGAATGAATACATCAATAAATGTAAATAGCTTCTCCTTTGTGAATGCCATCTGTGTTATGACATTGAAATTTATTTTGGGAAAACAGATATAAGGATGCAATGATAGATAAAGTCTGGTCCATACAAATAATATTTCTTTCTTTTATTAAATCACATCTACTACTCTACCCTGACCACAAATTGGAGAACTAGAAATTTCTAATTAATTTTTAAAATAATCAGTCACTCATTGGCTACCAATAATATCATAGTTCCCCAGTTCTTAGTGCTGATTAAGTTTCAATGTGGTTTTCACTAGCCTGAGTGACTATGACGAATATTTCGTTCTACTTCGGTTTTATTAAATCGACGTGCTACTATTTCTGCGATGATTTTCACACTGAAACTCGAACTCAGTACCTTTTGCTTTGAACAATAACGCGCTATTCACTGAGCTACTGAATTCAGACAGTTACTGGCTTGCGCAGTAAGTAAGAATTTTATTTGTTGTGATAAAAATGACTCATCTGAGATCTTTTACGAAACGGAACAATACACTTTCATTTCGCATCAAATTAACGAACGAGAATGAAAATGAATATGGTGAGCTACCATTTTTAATTGCTTAGTGAAAAGAAATCTAAATGGAATCCTAAATCCGTCCATCTAGCGAAAACCTACACACTATAATCGATATATTGACTTCAATTCAGCACATCATTTCAGTGCTAAGATCTCGCTAGCCCTATTTCTTTTTAGAAGAGCTAACAAGATTATCACATCAGAAGAGGATAAACAAAAAGAACAAAAGAATGTAATTAGCATCTTACAATTTTATAATTTTCCTATGACGATTATTAGAAGTATATTAAAACAAGACGTTTCATTGCGTAATAATAAAAATAATATTTCACACTATTATCTTACAAATTAAACTCTATCCTTTCTCACCATAAAGGTTTCACATTTTTCATCCATAACAGTGCATCCTTAACACCGAAATGACATGACATTGATTTAATCAGACCTGTTTTTTATTGCCCACATAATAATCTTGTCGTTCCGTTGTACTATTCGAACTTGGATTAATTTTGATTTGGTCATTTGTTCTCTGAAGAAGTGACTTACACTAAGTCACAAAACGTCAGAAAATCTAATTTTTATACTCATTAAAAATATATTATTTATTTATAACAATCTACCCAATGCTCAATTTATTCGAAATTATCAAGTCAAACCCTGGCAATGATACCTACAAGAATTTTATTTGTCTAGGTTTGGATTTTTCCGACATAGATATTGGTTCCTTTCATTGACCATTGTAACTTACTGATCATACGGAAGTTGTTAATTGTTCAATATTGTGAAACCCACCAGTCAAATGAAAATATGCGTCATTAGATCTATAGTAAAACAATAATATTTATTAACGTACTGGAGGTGGAAAGTGCAGTACAGAGGTGAAAATTTCACTGACTTATCACCTTTAATTAGACTTTTTAAATTCACCGTATCCAACTATTTAAACTTTCTTCACTCTGAAGCATTTCCATCAAAATCACTAACGAGAACTGTTTTATTTATTTTTAAGTAATATGAAAGTTTCTTGGTCAAGGTTAGTCATTTTTGAGTGTATGAGAGTTAAATAACGATTTCCTATTTATTCACTTGCATTTTGCCAATGGAGAAAGCCATCATAAAAAACACTTTTAAATACAGTAAGATTTAGAAATATTGCACACTTTATACATCATTCTGGGTGGTGATATTTATTTTGTAATAGTTTAACTCAAACCCCTATTCTTATCAAACATTGCCATTGTGAAAATTATATCATTGACCTACAACTTCGCTTTGTTCGACCGTGTAGAAAAAAGTGTATTTTAGACTTTTAAATTGAAGCGAACTGAGAGTATAAACATAAAAATAGGTGACGAAATATAAAAACTAAAAACATCTGCGACAAAGCCAACCTTCAAAGAGTTTTCCATTGCTTTAATAATACGTCCGATTCTTCCCGCATAGTTGAACACCTCTGAAGACAGATTGAATTGTTCTAAGCTTATTGAACGACGTGTTAGTTCCAATTCATATACCTAGACAAAGCATAATATACAACATAATGGGTGTTTTTTTCATGTTTCTAACCATTAATATTATATAATGAACAGATTCAATTTAAAAGTGATGCACAGTTCAACAACTTTATATTTTAATTTCCTTATCATAAACAGATTGGACATCCTATTACATAGTTGTTCAACACTACTGGCAGAACAATATTTGTCGTGACAATACAAGTTTTGAAAATTTATACATAACTTGGTTGTATCATTGGTGTTACGTGGTTACAGGTAGTCAGCGAGAGGTTTTGAATGTAGTTTTCCTACCATTTGACGATCGTCAGCAGCTTGTAACTGAAGTCTCATAAGAACTGATGCTCTGTGTGAGTGTGAACCTGTGCCATATAGCTCTGCAGTCCAATGCGTCACCACTGGGGTTTCCAAGTCGTCGATGATCTCATGTAGGACTGGAAGATTTGAAATTTATTGATTATTTGGTCGCGACTAATGCTATGTCTGTCTGGTCCTTTAATAGTGGTTGAATTCATTTCATTTCAAATGTCATAGACAATTAACTGTTACAGTGACTTTGCAGCTACGATTTATAGTTACACTGGGTTTTATAGTATGTCTGGAAGTTTCAAACTAGTTACTATGAAACAGGTGTCTACAAATATAGTATATCAAATTTTTAAAAACGGGTCAGCTCTTCGAGGAAAATTCATGCCAGATGAACAGTTAACACGATTGAGAACAGTATTATTGATTTTCCACTATGAAGATACTTTCTTCGGCTTTTATTCAAATTGAAAAGAACTACTCGATGAAGGTTCACGCCAGATTTGAAAGGCTGACGTCACTACCAATATCAATGAGTTCCATTTTCTAACAAAACTTTGTAGCGTTGTGGAATGACGTCGAGTCACGGTTGACTATGATCCCTTCGTAGGCCAAAAACCAGAAGACAATTGAGGGCTATAATAAGATATATTTGTTGGCAATCATGTGGTATCGAAAAAATACCGAGGTCGTGACAAAGAGTACAAGCAGAACTACTGAGTGTAACCAAGAGCGTACAAGGTCACAGTCAACGGAAGTATGTATGCTTTTAGTACAGTTAAACAATCAAATACAGTAAAACAATCACTGGTACAATTGGTTATAATAATAACTGTTTCCATTATATCAATCGCATCCTCTTAATAAAAGTAGGTCACTACAACTTTAGCACTTGCTTGAAGAACAGAACAGATCGGCAATTTTATTTTAAAAACTATGGTTTTTACAACATGAAATTTATGAATCAGTCTAAACAACATAAAGTCAAACTTTTTGTAGAATAATTATAAAAAAATTGAAGCAATAACATTTTAATAAAGTATGAAGCATGTGTTCATAGGTGGGGTCAAATTAACATACTAAAACTTCATGTTAACTGATAGAAATATATTGCTTTATTAGTTTGAATAACACAATATAGAAGAGGAAATATAATAACAATAAGAAAACCACTGAGCGAAATATTATCAAACTAACTGATGTCAGGCGCATCGTATCAAACAAAAACGATACATTCTCGTATGAGCTTATAAACCTTCGTCGTACGAATTTGTTGAGACATCTGTTACTCATTACTGATCACTGCTTACAGATGCACACGACATTATCGGAAATAGGAGTAGGTTACAAAAAGCTAGGGGTGGGCAATTAGGATAGGGTACTAATTTCTGAATTCACGGACTACTGATCCTGACAACGTTGGGTGACGCAAAATTCCCGAATGAGATGTCTAGAAACATGGTGAATAGAATTGTCGTACCAGGATAGATACATTTATTCACAACCTAAATCGTAAGACCGACATCATTCCACTCTTTTGTGACTCAGTCAGAGCTTCACTTTTTCCACTAACTGTAGTTGCCACGCCAAAATTACCCTTGTTTTGACATTATTTCCCATCTTGTTGACCAGATATTACTGTGCTGAGTTAGTATGTTGAACGTTTGGTCAATGTGCGTTCGTATCATCAGGTACTCAAAATTGAACCGTAGATGAACCTAGAAACAATCATAAACTAAATATCATGGTTGTTATAACAGGTTAGATTAGTTCTGACTCTAAATTTAACTCCGAATAACATGATCTATTTATGTCCGGATAATTAATGAAGTCAGTTCTCACTAGAACTTAATAAAGACCAGAACAATGTTCAGTGTCCAACTGTAAGTTGTTTTTACCGCCTAAAGTGCCAATATCGATAATTATGATCTGTTTTGGAGATCAACCTATCATTATACACGCCAATGGAGAACACATTTCAGAAAATTCAGTACATTTGTTCATTAGATACCATTTTGGGTCCATTTTTGATAGATGGACTTACAAGATGATTTATAAGAAGGAAAATAATCAATATTTTAGTCAAATCTAAGCACTTTGTGAATAATGCTGAATAGAAATCAAATTCTTAAATGCATCAAAAATTTTAAACTTTTGTTCACCTTTTATAGGAAAATAGTCAAAAAACAGTGGGTACATAACCTCACAGACACTAAATAGATTTTCTATAATTATTTGATTTTAATGCATGAGTTACAAAACGTTTAAATTTGAAGAAACCAAATGCATTAGTTTTGACAAATAGAAAGGATTGACAATGTAACTTTTAAATATTTGTAATGTCTTCAACTATCACTGTCATATCGGATTGAATAGATAATGTTCAAAAGAGCTGTACTTAAAATATACCAAAGAAGAGATACATACCGGAATAATTCAAGTGCAATTTTAAGTAAACTACTTGAGTTGTATCCAAAAAAGCTAAGCATTGTTGTGCGCTTTTGGTCCCGTCCTTAAATATTACTCAACGTTTATTTGAAGGCTTAAAATTTGGCAATATTGGAAAGTAATGAATTAGTCTTAGACAAATTATACGTTATTAGAAAGCCTCTCGTTTATTAAATCAGCAATTAATGTAAGATCTCAGACAACTCATTTAGCTTGATACGTTGCTGAAACTTATTATTCTCATTCCGACTTGCAATTAAAGAAAACGTCTGAGTGATATTCAGAAGTCGGGTGTGAAATAACTTGATTTTCTGGCCTTAAATTACTTAATTCTACAGACATTTAAATATTCTATAGTGGTCTGACTTAGATTGTTTATCAATCACCCTGATAAACTTTATTAAATATATTCCGATTGTGTACAAATTCAGAAGGTAACACGAAGCGCCGACTACAGTTTATTATTGGACAGCACAGATCACAATACAAACAAAGTGAATTTGAGCAGAAAGGCTGGCGCACACAAACAAGCGAATACATAGGCGGACTCCGAGTCAAATCGAATTGAAGCGAATCAATTAATAAGATTCAAGCACATATATATGTGGGAAAGCAAGTGATTCATCGAGTGACTTTTAAGCAACTAACATTTAAGGTGTAGTGAGGACTATGCGCGTAGGCCGTTATACGTAATCAAGCATACATGCTTATACAGACATGATAATAATAATAAAAAGGAATTAATAAATTGTTACCGTTCGAATAACACTGTCTGTTGAATAAGTTAATTGAAGTAGTGGATAAAATTACCCGTAAACAAATCTAATTGTAGGAGAGGCGATATAATTTTCTTTAGAGATTTCGGCTGTAAAATTTTTAATGGTGCCTCTTTTTATAGTTTCTGGATATCTTGTAAACGATGAGTTAATTATGAAGTATGCCTTTAAGTACTATATTTTACTCTTTTAAGTGAAGCAAATAACATTTTATTAGGACCTTGTTTTTGACCTAAGCTGATTTTTTTGATTGTTTTGTGTGCGTGTTTAGCCAAAATTCAATGAAATTTTTTAAAAATATTTCTTTTACTTGCACTCTCCTACGTTTTTTGGTGGGAATTATAGTATGCTCAATGTAGACCAATAACTTACACAGAAATGGATATATAGCAGAAGTCTTGGTAACGAACATGGTTGCCTCCTTTTCATTGACTTTTTTTAAATATGGTCAACTAGAATAGATCCATGGTTACATCAACAACGAATGGTAACTAGAACTACATACAAATAAATCAAATGACAATCGACTTTGAAGACAAGATCATACAAAAAATATATTTCTAAAAGTCTGTTGTTTTTTAAACACTGACAGAGTATTGGTTAAGTGGATGGTGACGACAAGGAACTTCAAAACGATCTCAACTTCTCGTCAAGCGAAACTATGACATGATTAATTCACGTCGGTTCGATTAAGAATGTCTCCACGTATTTGGAGATAGCAAAAGTATTGAGAACGTCTCTCTCAGTAATCCACCACAATGAACTAGTGCTTTCAGTAACCTGTGACGTAAAGACCATAATGCATTGCTAACACATTCTGTCGGTCTTCTTCTTCAAAATGAAAATCTGAAAATTCGGAACCTAGTACTGTCTTGCAAGAGCACAACTCATTCGAAAACACTCTTCAGTACACCCACTTACTGGTGATAAATACACAGTAAACTTCCGTAAGTTATGAGGTTTCTACAGGTTAAGTCCTTATTCAGTTAAGTAAAATGTTCCAGATGCCAGACTGTTATCAAGATTGTAACCTCTAAATAAAAAGATATGCTGCGACATTCAGCCGTACTCCCATCTAAACTGAGACGATGAGTTGTGAATAGTTTCCAAACCGTTTGACTGGTAAGCACTAAATAGCTATTTCGATATAAATGCACTCAAATATAAAACGAGGTTAGGCGTTCATGAGCTATGAACAGTCGACTTGATGTCGATCAGAAAAAAATGACACACGTATGTAACTTTATAAACTGTAGGGTTTAAAAATAACTTTTCAAAGTTTATTGGTAGGTTAAAAACATTTTATTTTATAACAACATACATTAACGAATGCCGACTTCTTAGCTGTATTGTGAAATATATTCCTAAAGAACTGTTTTGCGTTTTTAAGACTATCAATCTCCTCAACATCCAACTGGGAAAGTGATAGGACAAATCCAAATAAAACAACTATGCTAAAGCGTGAATACATTTTGTACTTTAAAAGGTTATCAACTCGTAATTAGATAACGACAGTGGACTAAAACAGCACATACAATACTCAATGTTCTTACGGCAAACTAATGTTTTTGACACATTTCTGATGACCTGTCTTAAATCTATCAGTCTTTTACTGCATCTATCTTGGTCCGATGGGATGATTTTACATGTTTATTTGTGATCACTTAAACTTTCCCAGTTTAAACGTTACAATAATCTCATTAAATGTGACTAGTATTTCGGTACTGATACATTTGGTTCGCGAGTGTACTTGAGTTCCACTACCCAATACAATTGTGACAATCTCGCATAAAGAGACTGATTACTTTGCCCTTACTTCGGTATGGTTATGGTATTGTACTGATGATGATACAGGTATTCAGTGTTTGACAACGCTTCTACCAGTAACACCTTCTAATATACTTTGTTCTCACCGAGAGAAATCAAAAGACAGAGTCGAGGAGATCGGAAGAGTGTATTTGGCGATAACCAATGTATCGGAATTCTCTGATCTAATCTGGCTAGCGATTGTGGTAGATGTTGAGCACAGCGTTACAACACGTGATCTGGTGCGGATGCATGACCGAGCGCCTTCAGCTAGATGAGTCCGCTAAAACATATGGTCAGCATCTAATGTCGAAAACCTACAGAGCTATTTAGTTTGGGGATTTATTTACCGCTACAGATCACTCCCCCCCCTAGTGGAGCAGTGATGACCCTAAGACGTGGCCAGCCAGAAGTATAAACCCAACGAGTTTGTCGTTGGTAAACACTCTTCTGATAGCTTACTAAATTTAGCAGCGTCTGTTCGTCTTTCCTTACTATATGGGACTGGGGTACAACATAGTAAAAAAAGAAAAGTACAATGAACATTTTCGATTCCTCGTAAACTGCGTCGTTCTTTTCCGGCCGTCCTGGAAAAGAAAAAAGAAAATGTAAGTGTCGAAATACACTCGTATGTACGTAAGAATGCAATGTCGGCGAAAAAAAGGAAAATAAACTCAAGCACACGTAATAGCGTTAAAAAAATTTTTTTTTAATAAAAATATACATATAAGCGCATATTAAAATTGTTTGTTTGTTTGTTTTAAAATTATTATATATCGTAAAAGGAAGGATTTAGATAATATAATATGTTGAGTAGTGCCTTACGTGAAATAGTCGTTTAAATTTTCTGGAAATCTTACTCTTCTTCCAGAACGTGTCGTTTTAAGTTTATTTTCAGACACATTCGGAGTGTCATCGCTAGTGTTGGTTGTTGGTTGAGGAATTATGAGTATAGGAGTCGGGTTGTGCGATTGTACCGAAGGGAAATCGACGTGAATAGGATTTCCTTTTAAATACGCTGCTTTGAGGCGATCGATGCTGATGCTATCGTTGGTTCCGTTCTTATCGATTATATAGTACATAGATTCGCGTTGAAGAACTATGAAAGGTCCTTCGAATGGTCGTCGATGTGCGTCTCGACGAACGAAAACGTGTGTACTATATTGTAAGTCAGGTTGAGCGAAAACATCGGTGGATTGTGGTCGTGTGGAAGCAGGTTTAACTGAACGCATTGCGTTTGTAAGCCTGTTCGTGTAGGAGGTTAGATCCATGTTCATTGAAGAGGATGAAGGATCCACGAATTCTCCTGGAAGTCGAAGTGTCGTTCCATAAACGAGTCGAGCCGCAGTGTATCCAATGTCAGCTTTCAATGCATTGCGGATACCTAGTAAGACGAGTGGAAGAGCGTTGGTCCACTGAGAAACGTTTGCAGCTGATAGTGAAGCTTTTAGTTGTCGGCGAAAGCGTTCTACCAACCCGTTTGCTTGTGGGTGGTAGGCGGTCGTTCGGAAGCGAGTGCTTCCTAATAGTGTGGTCAGACGACGGAAAAGTTCAGACTCAAACTGACGTCCGCGGTCTGTAGTGATGGTTGAAGGGCAACCGAAGTTTGCTACCCATCGTTCGACGAAGGTTCGGGCCACTGTTTCAGCAGTGATGTCCTTGATAGGTACTGCTTCTGGCCATCGAGTGAAACGATCTACACAGGTTAAGAGGTAAGAGTATCCATTTGAATCTGGTAAAGGTCCTACCAAATCCAGATGAACATGGTCGAAACGAGCATCGGGAGTTTTAAATGAGCCTAAGGGACATTTATTGTGTCTGATGACCTTAAAATTCGGGTGATCTTATCCGCAACGCCACCATGTAAACTTAATGTATCGGTCATCTGTTCGGTCAAGTAACCACAGATTTTGTCATTTCATAATGTATTTTTAATTAAATAACTAGATTATATAGCTAATTTTGATCTTTTTTTATATTTTTATTCGCCACGTTCGACTGCTTTACACTGCACGTCCATTGTATGCTGGGATGATATCTCAAGTCATAGTGAGTTTATTCACATAGCTGATTGTTTCCAGATAGACTATCAGTGCATGATTTTACTGTAGAAAGGTTTATTGTACTATAAACTATGTTTTTATGAACAACTGCCTGTTGTTTTCAGTCGGAAAGCAATATATTTATTCTTTGTCTTCTGTTAGGTAAGTTCAATTGGCCTATATTTCGTGTTTTGGTTTAATCAGCTTAATTATCTCCATTTAACTACTTTAAGCAATATGCCTGTGTAAATGAAACAATAACTATGACACTTGCTTAGTTTAGTATTCTTGGTTGTCGTATTATTCAGTTTAGTTGAAAGAATTATGGTATACTTAAGTATAGTGCTTGAAGCCTGTAACGAAACAGATCAGTCCAGTAAGTAGAGTTGCCTGTTTCTGATGAGTATACTGATTCAAATCAGTCTGATTAAAAATTGGAAAAAAGTACTTTTGGTACTGTTGCTGTCATACATTATAAGATAGCGATAAGTATGTTTGGTGTTTATTTCTACATTGTACATCTATCACTGACCGTATTTCATGATCTCTGTCATTAAACAATTTCCTCAGCAATAACATCGGTAGCAGGATAGCTAAGTGTGTGAGCTTTTATTTAACCGCAGAAGAGCAGTATACAGTCTTAGAATATGAGTGTTCTGTATCACAATTAAATGCAGTTGGCTGTAGACAAATTTTAAGAATCTTTTTGACAACTAGGACTTTTAGTTCATCAAACACTAACTCTGCTTGTATGTCTCCCTGTTAAATTAGATGCAGATACATGGTAATACTTACATGAGAGCAAAATAATAAAAGCATTGAGATACGGTATTAAGTCCATGTTATGCTTTGCACAAGTAATAGCTGACCTGACCTAATATCCATGAACTAAAGGTAAATCACAAGTGCATAAATTCTTTGCTAAAAAACATGTAATTTGGTTATCTATCTATTCCACATTTCTGACTAATTTCATTACTATTTTCTCATTCAGAATGCAACAGGAGTGAGCCTTCACAGATCCTAAGAACTGTTTCGCCCTTAGAACTATGGCCCTATGAAATTGTTTACGGGAGACATAACTAACAGCAGATTATAAAAAGGATGCTGGATGTCCATCTTAGTCTCACGACCACTTCCAGTACTTTTTGAGTTACTTCTTTTACCCTTTCGTTTGGAAAAAAACAACAAAAGCTTGAGCTTAACATTACGAATGCAACTTTTAGACTGGAACTTGGTTTAAACCTTTGTTTCATATTCGATTCTTAATGAAAGTTCTCGAGTAAATTTTTGAATCCAATGCTACTTTGTTTTATCTACTTAATCGTTGCAAGAAACTTGCGATACACGAGCCTCTCAGCACCTAATGCATGTGTTCAGGCTTCCGTGTCTAGTAGCAGGGGATCACAAAAACCTCCAGGCAGGAACATAGGTATGTTAACAATAAAAGATCAAGTCGCCTCCCAAAGGACTCCTGAGAAGTCACTTGGACTAGTTCGGCGGGCAGCGAATTCCAGCATTCGACAACTCTTAAGGAGTAGAAGTTGCGTCTACATTTCATTCTGCTATGTCGTGTCTCTAGTTTCTGGGACTAAGCTCAAGTAGGTGTTTGAGAGAATGTCCAGAAGTGTTAAGGATACTGTAAGCAAATAGGTCACCTGTAAGTCGTCTATACTTTAATGAGTAGAGGCTAAGTGATTGGAGGCGCTCTTCATAAGGTGATTTGGTGCATATCTCCGTCATTTTCTTGGGAAACCTACAGGCTCGGGTCCTCTCACAACTTATTCTAGCCACCATGAGTTGCCACGAAAACTGATGGTTGGACACGCGTTACACATCCTAACCGTCCCTGCGTCTAATCTCATAGCTTATTCAAATATCATATGATAAGCAAGTAATGCTTCTACCGACACTAATGGAACACGAGTTATTCAAAGGCACACTGTATGGTACTTTACATTGGTCTACGCACTCACTTAGCTCTTTAGTGGGTATATTACTACAGTCCTGCTAAAAAAACCATGAACCCCTCTACCACCATCAAAACAATAAGTCTGTATTTGCTGCATATAGCAATTTTATTTTTCAGATGATATAACAGTTAGAATTGGAGTAAAATAACAATATACAGCAGATGCACGCGGTACATGTCTTCATCGATTAACTGAAATAGAAAATACGGATATTAGCTTAACAGGCTTATTTAGAAAAACTAGTGTCTACTCTGAACTTACTGCGTGAGAACGTTATACTGGAACTACGAATAATGTAGGAATCTAGTCTCCCAGGGCGTACGAAGCACTCAAACTGGAAGACAGTAGTCCCAAAATAATTCGAATATGAAGGTGAGAATTTGCAGTTACTTTTCATCGTAAGGGTGAACATATTTGATAACGGTTGACATCATACCGTAAAAAAACACAAATTTGCGAGTGGTGAATTATGGTCTATAAAGAGGTGAGCTTAATAACAGTTAGTTACCTTTTTACTCCCTGATCATGACCCTTCGGCTTCCTTTTGTGGCCAAAACACCAAACAGACACTATACACTGATAGCAGACTTCAGGCTTTTCAATGTTAAGCTTGCTTTAACGCACTACGTAACGAGTACAATCTCTCCATTACTGCTATGTGGCATATTTTTTCATAACAAACCCTCTGC